TATTCATATGGTCGAATACATTTGATTTCAATGTAAAAAGAAGAAAAAAAATCTAAAACTATAAAACATCATTAAAAAAATGATAATGATATTTTGGAAAACAAATACAAACTTTCATAGTAACAATATAAGAGAGAGATTATTGTTTGTCCATTAACAAGAATAAACAGCTGTCTAATAATTTATAATTTAGTATAGTTATCCAATGATTACCAACTTTTCTAATACATTTGGTATATATATATAGATATATAGATAGATATTCGATATTTCTTAATAGATATATGAATGTCTACTGGATTTTTCTATTTATCCAGTATTCATGATGAAGTATGAGTTAATAGTTGAATAGTTGAAAGCGTGAGTCAATCGAAGCTAGACCACCATGGAAAACCTGGAAACACTGGATGGCCGTTTCAACCCATTGTGGGACTCCTCAGCAGTGCGCATCCACGAACCCGCTCTCGCGAGATTCGAACCCAGGACCTAAGACGAAACGGCCGTCCAGTGTTTCCAGGTTTTCCATGGTGGTCTAGCTTCAATTGACTCACGCTTTCAACTATGAAAAAAAACTGAATCTCCACAAAACCCCTTCTGATAGTTGAATAGTTCCAAATAATGATTATTTATGTACATTGATTGATCACGAGTCTACAATAAAAGTAATAATTCTTTAGGTGTTAAACTTTTAGGTTATACAGTTAGTTGTCATTTTTAAGTATAAAATAAATAAGTAGGAGATATCATCTATAAGATACTATAAATATTTTTTTTTCTTTAAAGAATTAAATACTACTGAAATATGATGAGAGAAGGGATATAAAGATGATGACCTTTTTAAGTTGTTAGAACCATATGTTTGACAAGAATAAACAACTGTGTCACTTATGGATATTTATCCGATTTATTTTTGTAAAATTACATTTTGATGTTAATAGTTCAACCATGGAAACTCTTCTTATTACCACATTTCTTAGATGTTAGTATCTACTTAAATCATTATGCATCAAATATCGCTGTTGTCTAACTGAAAAATATTTTCTGGTTCTGAGTATTGATCAACATTTAGTAGAATTGTATGCGCTAGAAAATGTACTCACCTCTAATATTGTTGAACATCACGGAGTATGTATTATCAATTATATAAGCTCATACGTTTCTCTACTCTCTAAGTGTAACAAACTAGAACTAAACTTATGTTGAGTTTTTCCAGATTTTTAACGATAGTCTAGCTGAGATAAGTTCGTGATTTAGCACGATAAGGAAAAGAATTTCCCAAATGATTAAATGTACGGTAAGGTAAGGAAAGAGACATCCGTTTGAATTTCTAAAAGACATTACGTTTACATTACTTCTTGTCAATGTGATGTAATCCGTTTCATTTCTAAGGTTTCTATAAATCATTACAAAAAATATCGTCCCAATATCATTGTGACAAGTAATGAAATGTATTGAGATAATGAAATTTTCAATATTACATGCATTAATGATTGTAAAACATTTTACAGCTAACATGAGCATCTATATATATTTTTCTTCCACTCTATATTGGTACCTAATTCTGTTTGATTGCAAAATGTTGAAACATTTACTTGTTTTATAGGTTTCATTTCGATATATCAGGATGATGGTGTATCTGAGGTTGTAAGTAGACTGATACTCCTTGAGATACCTGAGTTAATTCAGTCATAACTATCGCAGTTACGTAACCATTTATTGACAGCTAAGTAAATTACAGACATTTCGTAATCTTTAGCATATAAAGCTTTAGTATCACCGGATGCAGGTAACACTTTGAACATAAAAAACTATTCAAAATCATCGCTCCATTTGCATCAGATAAAATATGTAATAACTTTAACTTTGTTAAGATTATCTTTCTCCATTTTGAATTCAGTTTTGAATTGCGATAATTGTATGAATATTTTTGTTTTACTTAACAATTTTTCATCCATATTTCTATTATAAACTATTTTTATTTATTTATTTGATGAAACGGAGAAATTTTTTGGTGTATTGATAGTGTTTTCATAATATACACGTTGATATATCTATTTTACTAAAAGCTTCAATGAATTCTTATCAGTAACCACCACATTACTTATTGTAAATGTGGTAAGTTTAGTTGCCATTACGATTAAATATTAAATATTAGGTAATGTGTATGTTTAGAAATACACATGGTGTTTGGTATATTAAAAACTACGAACAATTACTAAATACAAAACAAACGTATTTTTATGGTTGAGATCATGAGTCAGTTGAAGCTAGACAACTACGAAAAACCTGGAAGCACTGGACGGCCGTTTCGTACTATCGCGGGACTCCTCAAAAGTGCGCATCAACGATCCCGCTTCACGAGATACGAACCCATGAGGTATTTCCTGGAGTTCTGGTGTGAAGCAGTAACCAGTGGAGTTCAACCAGGTCTGTTGGGAGATATCAACTCACTGAAGACATTGGTGAATGGTTGCTCAATTTTGTGCATTGGTTGAAGTTAGACATTAACACCGTTGGATGCCCACCAGCTCAATGGTCTATCGGTTAAATGCTCTGACGCGAGACTGATAGGTCCTGGGTTTGAATCTCGTGAGGCGGGATCGTGGATGCGCACTGCTGAGGAGTCCCACAATGGGTTAAAACGGCCGTCCAGTGCTTCCAAGTTTTCCATGATTGTCTAGCTTCGACTGACTCCTGATCTCAACTATATAAAATTACTAAAATCTCCACAAAACACCCTTCTGAAAACGTATTTTCGTTCATTTTCAGTTTGTATTAAAATATGCGATAATTTCAAATGAATCAGTTAACCGGAAAAGCGTTAACCGAAATTTTCAAATAGTTTGAATTAGACGTTTGTATATAATTAAAAATCGACGTTAAATTAAAAAAATCTTTCTTCTAAAAAATTTATTGGCGATCGTTTTTATCATGGAATGTTATTATTCGAAGAATTGCTGGAAATCGTGGAGCACTAAACTAAAATGTTTTAAACCATTTTTGGCTGTTTCCATAATAACAGTGTACTCAATAATGATATACTCTGAAGTGTGTCCAATGATACTCTAATAAAAATACTTTATCAATTACAGTGTAAAGTATTTAGTTATTGTTGAAGCCAGTAGATCACAGCGGAACAAAAGTCGAATAAAATTTAAATATTTGACCTATAGGATCTCAATTCACTAACTGAATGTCATCATGTTTGCTGTGATACATGAAAGGACTATGTTAAAACTCGAGTAGTTCGTCAGTACATCTACGGTAGTTTCTAAGTAAGACATAGTAGATGTTTAATGCATCCTAATTTTCAATAGTCCTTTCTATGGTGTCATTCACTAATTACAACCATTTTTATATAAAATAAAATAGGTGAAATAGCATAACTTTGAACGGTATAAAGAACACTTGGTACTGTACATTGAAACCAATTAAACATCAGGGAAGCTTGTTTTCAGTGTCGACTTGACTCTCCTATCGATGACACTTTAGGAGGAATCTATGGGAGAGTCAAGATGACACTGAATACATGCTTCCCAGATGTTTAATTGGTTTCACTTTACAACACCAAGCGTTCTTTCCACCACTTAAAGATAGATCAATACCCTTTAGACATCACCTCCAATTGCATTTATAAATTTACTTGTACCTATGGTACAAGGTACATAGAAAGGACAAAGAGTAGGTGCTTTACAAGGTTTTTTTTAACAGATTCCTAGGAACTTTTGGCTGAAGTAGATGAAGTCTGTACAAGTGTAATTGTCAGACATCTAAATAGTGGACATAGAGTGCAAATGATTGTTTCAAAATAATCAATAAACAAAAATACAAATCTTACTCCGTTTTACAGATGAGATGGCTGTAAAAACGTTTCCGACCTGACTTATGTATACAGAAGGAAAGTGTAATAAACCTTTCCCTGTCATGGTGATCGGAATTTTGTCTAATAGGCTTTATTAATTTTATTCTTTTTTTCAATGTTGTCCCCAATCTTTTTACTATTTTCGTATTCTTTCATCTTCTGATTTTTATCTCTTAATTAATCCGATTGATGTCCATATATTTGTTTATTTTATCATGTTGAGTGATTACCCAATCATTTATTAATTTCATTATCTTCGCATAACGTTTAAATTATTACTTCCCGACATACAAATACACATCGATCTGAACTAAATTTGTTCATACAGTTTGTATTCTCATTCTTCGCAATATGATTTTGGTGGAATTTCGAAATTACATTTAAAATTCAAAAACTAAAGTATGCTAAACATTCACTTGTTGTCGTTTACTTGTATCTTCCCATTGTTATTTAGGACTGCAATTGATCAATCTCTTGTTGACATACGTGCATACTGTGCGGACTGCTTTGATATTGCCTTAGGTCACAAGCATTATAAGCAAAAAATGGATAGTGACTATCAGTGGAATCCATGATGCACGTTTCGTCCTACCTGAGACTCGTCAGCTGGTTGTACCTGCATCTCACTCTGGGGTTCGAAACCTGCACTGTTTGCTTCAAACGCTATCACATTATCCGTTTCACTCTCAACCTGTTGCAAAAGGAAGTGGCTATCAGTGGCTAAGTGCATAACATGATGGCGTTTGTAGTGAACGGCACTAGGTTCGAGTCCCAGACTAAACATCGACTCTTAGATGCAGGTATATCCAGCTGACGAGTTCCAAATAGGACAAAACGCGCTTTCTGGATCCCATTGCTAACCAATATCCATCTTTGCTTGAATGCTAAGCATTTATTATTAATTATGTTAATAATTGTAATTTCAGGTTGTATGAAGGTGATGAGAAATTGTGTAATAGAATGAATTAATATTTTGTGTTTTAACTAAATTGGTAATTGGTGTTAACTGAATGGAATTCTTTAAAATACCAAACAATAACAGTTGAATTTCTTTATATGTCATTTAATTTTAAATGTATTACAATTTTAATAGCCCTAATATTATATTAAAACAACTGCTTCTTCTACACTTTCATAGGTGCTAAATTTGATGCTAAAGGAAATATGCGTGACTGGTGGAGTGCAGAAACATTGGCAGCTTTCGAAAAAAATTCACAATGTATGATTGATCAGTATAGTAATTATTCAATTCTTAATACAAGTGTAAGTATTTATATTTTATTTAATAATAGTTTTACTATTTCTTTTTGAATTTCGAATTTTGATTTAATAAAATAGATAATCTTTATGATTGAATAATGCGATTAGATGACGATGGTTGTCAGAACAAGGTAGGTTAATAAAAAGCTTATTCAATACGATCAATCATATTTGTACTAGTGATATAATTGGAGACGTATAGCTTTTAACCGGAACAATCATGAATGGTGGTTATTTACTGAAGTCTTTAAACATTTGAAAAGGCAACAATATCACGAGAGCTATTACGCTTTTGGAGTCTAAAAAACGAGTTCCTACTATCCTACCATTCACAAGTGACCTAAATAGTTTTATATTGAAATGAAGACTTAGACTGATATTCAGTAAGACATTTTACGCAACCTAACTCATGATTATCGAAAATTCAAGGTCTATGTTACACCAAATACACAAAAAATATGTCAACGACTTTTTGACATCCCATTGGGTCTATCCACTTACGTGTATATACAGAAACTCAGACATAGAAAGGATCAATCATGATCTGCAAGTAAGGGTGAGTGAATGTATACCTAAATGTCTACAAAAACAAATAAACTCCGATGGTCAAATGAGATCAGAGGATGGACAAATATCTTTCTTTACCACGAAACATTTAGTTGTGATAGGTCAAAGGGTTGATTTCAAATAATCCTTTGTAGTGTTACACAAAAGCATTCAATGATGTTTACTTAGGTTCATGGAAAACTTGGCTATGCAAAACATGAAATCCATTTTATTTGTTAAAAAAACTAGTTCTTACCATTAATCTACTAATTTATTATCCAACATGGTTTTTCACACCGTATACTCTATTGTTATCCTTCCTTGCTTTTGCCTGCCACTTTTTCCAGTTGATCGTCCACGTAAAATACCTTAACAAGCATTTGTGATCAGACTGTTCAAAATGTTTTACATAAAGATATCACATACTTCTGATAATCTTCGTCTTCTCATTGCATTAAGCAAATTTACTAAAACATGGACTGACGTTTTAAAATTTACACCTTATTTATAGCTAATTACAACTGGCATTGAAGTATAATAATGAATTTCCCAAGTATAACAGGTCACACTTATTTAATTTACCGTTTCAACGAATTTTCTGCTTCACATTAGAGAATACTGTCAAAATTTCTGATCCAGTGATTAAATACTTTGCTCAACACTGGTGAAAAACACTAAACTGAGTCATTTACAAATTATTTTTTGTTTTTATATAAGTATGAATTGTGAACACACTTTTTAATCATGATACTGACTAGAAGTCTCTACAAATGAATCGCTATGAATGAATGAACGACACACATAAAACTGCCTTTCCGAAATCTGTCAAACAACTGAATAATTCATGCATGTAAACTGTATATACGTGGCTGCATAAATTTATTTTTACTGTGTTGTTAAAGCATAGTAGCTTATTATAAAATGTTTTACAAATCAAATGTAGATGTGAAACGCTCATCTAAACATTTTCAGTAGTTGAAAAATATTGGATGAACTTAAATTATTATTATCAGAAGGGGTTTGGTAAATGGTTGCTCAACTTCGTGGATTGGTTGGAGTTAGACATAAACACCATCGGATGCCGGCTCAGTGGTCTATCGGTTAAGTGCTCTGGCTCGAGACCGATGGGTCCTGGGTTCGAATCTTGCGAGAGCGGGTTCGTGGATGCGCACTGCTGAGGAGTCCCACAATGGGTTGAAACGGCCGTCCAGTCCTTCCAGGCTTTTCCTGGTGGTCTAGCTTCGATTGACTCACGCTTTCAACTAATTAAATTATTAATTTGTACATATAAAACTTTCTCTACATATTCTTCTGTAGTAAGCGTAATCGTTGGTTTAATTCTAACTTGTAACAATGAACTTGATTTGAGATTCGTCCATATCATTCGCGGTGTTATAACAGATTTTCTAACATATTGATGATTGAGAAAACGATACTACTGAAAATATTTACTAACCGTAATAAAGAAAAGTATGTACTAAGTATTCTTGAGGTTATTATCTACTATAATCATAATTTTTTTTATTTTATTATAATTTTCTTGCTTTATAGCTTAATGGAAAAATGACATTAGGGGAAAACATCGCTGATAATGGAGGTCTTAAAGCAGCCTATAAAGTAAGCTTTGTTTGAAGTCACGTTGAAAATACATTAATATTATGTTTATATCCTGAGTATTATTAAACAAAAGAATAAAAACTTAATGTGTCGTAAAATTTCTTTTTTTCAATTTTGTCTTTGTAAGAATGATCGTTTACTACTTTTAGTAAGAAAAGTACTCATTAATTATGACAGTTAACACAACAGTATAAAAATTGAGAAAGGTCTTATCTAGGGCTGTTATTATTGACCAATGATAATAACCGAAGGGATTTATATCTTTCTAGATAAACCCGATACATAACTACCTTAATCCAATTTTCTCGAAAGTTAACTATTTGACTTTTGGATTGTTCGACACTATAGGTTGCGAACTATGAAACTATATTAAGATTAGTCAATAGTTAGCACATGGTTATCTAAACTTTCACGTTATTGATTAACTTCAGTTAGTCAACCATGAGGCACTGGAAAACATTTCCATTACAATATGAGAGTTTATGACCCAATCAGGCATCAAATCTAGAACCTCCCAATGTCGGAGCCAGCGCTTAATCTTTAGACCACTAAACTTGTATCCAACAGTACATATTTCTCACCGAAGTCAATTTGTGACAATTCATTAATGTCAACGAAAAACATATACCAATGTTTTTTTTCATGCAATAGTTCTTCAGCTAATGTAAGCATTTGGTAAATTTCGATAATGCAATGAAAAGACGAAGGTTATCAGAATTATGTGATATATTTTCTCAATACATTTTAAACAATCTGATCACATATATACCTGTTAAGACATTTTTATATTAAAAAAAAAAAGTCAACTCTAGACAGCTTAAAGGTAAGCCGCAACAAAGAAAAATAAAGCACAAAAAACAATGTGATAACCACTCTGAATAATAAATCAGAGTAACCAGGGTACTACAAGAACTATATAAAGATTACCAAAATCTCCACGAAACCCCCTTCTGATAAAATAAAAAACATTACTTCCTTGTTTGAATATAAACGTTAACTTAACATGCATTTCAAGAAATTAAACTGTTAAGATTAGTTATATTTATTTATAATGATGATTATGCGGGAGGTTTAAAACTATTTCAAAGCTTTAACAAGTGTAACATTGAGGTTGAAAACAGTTTTGGTTTCGATGATCATATACGGCTATAAAAAGTAAACTTTAATGTTTGAGATATAAATTGGTTAAAAATATCTAAAAATGTATCTTTCAACCATTTCTCTCATACACCGAGAGAGTTGGTTAAGTAATGGTAATGATGAATTTAATATACAGATGAGACTACAAATCTACAAGTCAGAAGGGGGTTTCATGGGAATTTTAATAATTTTTTTATATAGCTTAGATCATTAGTTAGTTGAAGCTAGACCACCAGGGAAAGCCTGGAAGCACTGGACGTTTCGTCCTACTGTAGGACTCCTCAGCAGTGCGCGTCTACGATCCCACCTCACGAGATTCAAACCCCACACCTACTAGACTAGCGCCAGAGCACTTAATCGATAGACCACTGAGCCGGCATTCAACGGTGTTAATGTCTAACGTCAACCAATCCACGACATGGAGCGACCAACTTCCATTGTACTGAGGTAGATACCTGTCTTTACCTGACATGGATTAGCCCAACTGCTCACGACTTCTTAAGTTTTCCATAGTGGTCTAGCTTCAATTAACTAGTGATCTCAGCTATTTTTTAAAAACTACAAGTTTTGGAACATGTGTCACACACACTCATGCACTGCCTACCCTAAAGTGTTATTCTACCAAACATATAAATAAGAGAACTGAACATTGGTAACCAGAAAAAGTTATAAAAATCAGTTCAGGAATTTATTTGTTGTTAGTTTGATATGAACAGGTAGATGCAAATTTTCTGTTTTAAGAGTTAATCTGTTATTACAGTTCAAATTTGATTTAAGTTAGGTAGATGCATTCATATTCTATATTGCCATAAATTACAAGCTTAGTATAATCCCATATTATCTATTCTTTTCTTTTATAGTTATTTATAATAGCTTGCTAATTTATAGTAATGTTCGACGATCTTATGGAACATATGAGTTATGTCTATTTAAGCCATACTTTGCTCGAAATATCATCTATAAATCACTTTAATTCCTTAAATCTTTTCTAAGACCATATTTGTCTCCTTTTAATTATAGGCATTTAAGAAGTTGGAGGCAAAATATTCTGACAAACCTATATTACCTGGTTTAAATTTCACTCCAGATCAGTTATTTTTCATTGGATTTGCCCAGGTATGTTATTATTAATTTGAAATGGTAAATTTTTTATGATACCCTGTTTTATTGAATTTAATTTCCAAAGTGATTATACATTAAATAATGATTTACAAGTATTATAAACCAATATAAACTTGGATTAAATTTAATTTGGTTATTTATTCTCTGAAGACGTGGCTTACACTGATTCACGAAACGTCAGAAAATCCAATCTTTCCACTTATTGGGATATTACAATTATATTATTTATTTATAACAATATTCGGTAGTAAATTAAATGATCATTAATAACGATTCGAGAATATCTTGATTTAATTACATAAATGATTATCAGAAGGGGTTTTGTTGAGATTTCTGTATTTTTATAGTTGAAATCATGAGTCAATTGAAGTTAGACCATCATGTGGAACCTAGAAGCACTGGACGGCCGTTTCGTCCTATTGTAGGATTCCTCATCAGTACGCATCCACGATCCCGCCTCACGAGATTCGAACCCAGGACCTACCGGTCTTGCGAGACGGGATCGTGGATGCTTAGTGATGAGGAGTTCCACAATATAACGAAACGGCCGTCTAGTGCTTCCAGGTTTTCCATGGTTGTCTAGCTTCAATTGACTCATGATTTCATCTATGAAAATACATAAATGATTAAATGAAACCAAGAAAAATATAATACATTAGTAGATTACTATTAGGTGATAAATTATATAACTTGTAGGTAAACTCTATGGCTCATTTGTCGTACGGTTATAAATTAGTGTAATTTTAGAACATTAAAATAAACTTTTTATTTAAACTGAGAAAAACAATTTGTCGACGAAGGTTGGTTTTATGTCATGGATTAACTTTTCTTAGTTAACTATTTGAAATAAAATAAAATGGATTATTTTTAGGCATATTATGTGAACTAAACTATTTAAAAAAATGGTTTTTACCTTTGACATACATCAACGAAAACCTTTTTAGATCAATTTTTACTAAAATTAATTAATCGTTCATTGGTTACTATTTTTAGAGTTTAGGTCATACTTCTATATGGTAGCCGATTATCATCATGAACATTTAAAACAGAATATTTACATTGTTCTTAATTTAGAGGAAACTTTTGATATGGAGGAAAATTTCGAAAGAAACATTAGTTTGACTATAATTTTGTACTGTGAATTAATTTGATCACTATTAAAGCCAATTAAATGATATTAAATGGTCATGAACTCTATAGTGATGACTTTCAACCGTGATTCAGTTTTTAGGTTATTTCTTTAAGATCGTATATGCAGACGGAAAACTTTGGTGGTTGATAGTGTAAGGTCACTTTTCACAGATATAAGGATTTTTTTATGAAACCGAAGAGTGATTATTTACTTAATATCCCTTCATTGATGTAGTCTACCTACCTAGCAGGTATACTCCTGTGATTCCTATGCATACAATGTTTGTTTTTTACTTTAATTAGTAGTTTTTTAATGCACACTGAAACTAAACAATCCAAATAAACATTTTGTATTGATGTGTATAAATCGTTTCTTGTTCAATGGTTAAATAGCACTTCCATGTAATTTTCAATCATTTGTTTAAAAAATCTCGCTAATTCTGAATTTTAAAACTTATACTCGTTCAAATTGTCTTGATACTGAGAGAATGAAATAAGGCAATTTTCAATTGATACTTTTTTAAACTGATTCCTGGTTATGAATTATGTCCGAATAAGACTGGTTTTGTTAAGCTATAATTGATAATTCCGATGAGAAAAATAACGTTTTTTCTAACAATTTACTACCAAGCATGGTAAGCAAAGATGGATAGTGGCTAGCAGTGGAATCTAGGACGCGTTTCGTCCTATTTGGGACTCGTCAGCTGGATGTACCTGCATCTGAGTTGATGTTCACTCTGGGACTCAAAACCAGTACCTTTCACTTCAAACGCCATCGCGTTATCCACTCAGCTACTGAGTCCTGATAGCCACTTGGTTGTGCAATGGGGTGAATCTTGAATTCACTTAGTATTGTTTATTTGAATCTTCCCATTAAGTCTTAGGACTGCAACTGGTTAGTCTGCTCAGTTTGAAGAGAAAGGAACTGGGTTCGAGTTCCAGAATGAAAATCAACTCTGAGATGCTTGTGAATTTAGGTTTTATCAAGGTAATACGCACAGTATGCATATATGCCAACTAGAGACTGACCAGTTGCAGTCCTAAAACATCAATGGGAAGATTCAAGCAAACAATACTAAGTGAATTTATAACCAAATTCTAAAATGCAAACTAGTATTTTAAAGCCAGAAGTGTTCAATAATTAACAGGTAGAAAGTTCAAATACATCCATTGAATAAATAACGGTAGATGAATTCAAAACTAAAGCGAAGAACTACAAATAACTCTATCAGTAGATAATGCAAGTAGTCCAAAATAAATAGCATACGATTCCTTGTGATAGTGATAATCATATTTTAAAAATATCTACAATAAAACGTGTTTGACTAAATATTAAGAATTCAAAATTGAAGCTGAAAACTGTGAAGTTGTTGAATTAGACTATATTAGAGCCAATATCTTCAGGTAAATATATATCTCCGTCTTTGGCTTGAAAATATAGATTAGACTGAGTACGTACTGTGATTTATTGTGGTCAGTCAATAAGCATATAAAGTCAATCTAAACTAGAATGATATACATTGAAAAACAAATAGAGTTCCGCCCTTACGTCTCATCTTTTTAATCAAATAGATCTATCGACCTAATACATTCCTTTTTTAGCAGTGTGTTGATGCTAAAAGCAATTAGTGTTATGCCTCATCATCTCTAAGATTAGCTACTACAATTTTTCTTTAAAGGTGGTTACTAATTAAGTTTTCGGTGTCAAGTTTAGTTTATAAAATGTGTTTGACTAATTATTGAGAATTTAAAATATAATCTGAAACCTGTGAAGTTGTTGAATTAGACAATATCCTTAATCAGATGGTCACTGTTCACATTCTTTTCTAATTACTAAACACTTAAGTATGTCAGTCTTAATGACTAGTACTGATGAACTTTCAGTGATCAACAAAATATGTAGTGTACTAGCTATCTTTGCATATCAATTATAAAATGCCTTAACAATTAGTATACTTTATCTGAGTTTTATTAATTTTATGGTTATATGTATTCTAGTTTGTAAAAGTTGATATATAACTGTATATTAAACACACTGGTATGAAAGTTGCATTTAATTATTTTATTCTCAATTTATCTCCTAATTTTTAGTTATGGTGCATTAAAAGCCTCCCTCAGTCAGTTCTTAATACTGTGCTTTTTGATGTTCATACAGTGGAGCCATACAGGTAATTTCATAATCTGAATTTTATAAGAATTATTAAATCAGTATACAAATTCAGAGATTAAAAAAAATGAAATCAAGGTTATTTTATTCGACTTACTTACTGACTTACGCCTGTTACTCACAATGGAGCATCGACCGACGACCAGTTTTCTCCAACCCACTCTGTCCTGGACCTTCCTTTCTGGTTCTATCCAAATTTTGTTCATTCTTCTCATATCTGTCTCCATTTCTCGGTGTAATGTGTCCTTTTGTCTTCCTCTTCTCCTCTGGCCTTCAGGATTCCATGTATGGACTTGTCTTGTGACGCAGGTGATTTCCTCAATATGTGTCCTATCCACTTCCAGTGCTTCCTCCTGATTTCTTCCTCCGGTGGGTGAAATCTGGTTTGTTCTCTCCCACCGTAGGTTGTTGCTGATAGTGTCTGACCAACGGATCCGAAGTATCTTGTGTAGACAACTGTTGTTAAAAACCTATATCTTCTGGATGGTGGCCTTTGTTGTTCTCCACGTCTCCACCCCATACAGTAGAACTGCCTTGACATTTGTATTGAAAATTCTGATCTCTGTGTTGATTGACAATTGATTTGAGTTCCAGATGTTTTTCAGCTGTAAACATGTTGCTCTTGCTTTGCCGATCCTCGCCCTCACATCTGCATCTGATCCACCGTGTTCATCAATGATGCAGAGAAGATAAGATCACCAAAATTATTCACTTGACCTATGGTTTTCTCCTATCATTTCATATTAATGGGCATTACTCATGTACTTCCGAAGGCATGTCATGTCATCTGTATAGTGAATGGTGCCTGTACTTTGCACGTTTACAGTAACTAAGATACCATCCAAAAGATCCCACTTCTTGTAGATTAATTTTAAATATGTTAAATTGGACACTCACTAAATGTCATTTTTCAAAGGATGTTTCATCTTATAATAACTAGTATATTTTGTCAATCGGGAAACACTGAAGAGAAGTGAGAGAAAATGCCTAAAAATAATATATTTGTACACATTACTAAGATATTAACGCTTTAAAGTTATTTATGCCTTGTTTTACTGTTACAAGAATCGCGTAAACAAGTAGCAACTAACATTATTGTAACACAATTATACTAGTGAAGAATATTCTTTTTAAATAAATTTCCTGGACTAGCCACTTCTTTCTGTATCGATCAATTTAACTGATCCTGTGGAGCAAGTTATATTAGCAGATGTTCTGTTAATTTGTATATTCAAGCACCTCTCAGTATGGTTAAGCAAAGGTGTAATTAAAACGGTTAACAGCTCCATTTTAGTCTATTTAATTCAGACGGAACATATAGCCAACAGGGAGCAATCTTTCGCAATAATATATCGTATTAACAGCAGTTTACCTAATTCTGCCAGACTGAGAACCCTGAAGACGGCTGAAGCAGTTGCTATTCGGATCAAAAAGCTAGAGCTTTGCATTCAAATGAAATATATTCAGCTGCTCCATTTACCTGACCAACTTCGGGGTCAACTAGTTAATAATCAGTTTTTACAAATTGGTGACGTAATTTGAATAATGTTCATTTTGATATCTTAAACTTGTCCACACATCTTACCATTGTCATTATTACCATTATTACGCTTGCTAACCTTTTTGAAAAATATTATTCAGTATCCACCCCCATCTACTATATCTGACCTAATTCATATTATTCGTATTTTTTGATTTGTAGTCTCATTATTCTCTCTCACTCTATGTCAACTATACTTATTCTGATCATTTATCTCACAATTTCATTTCACTTATAAACTGATTCAAGTTAACACTTCATATTAGTCATTCCAACATTAACAATTTAATTTGATTTTATACGACAAACAACAATGCTTGATTCACATGTTACAATTTTATATGATGTACTCTGCTTTAAACCTAGCCAATTTTACGGATATGTAATTTTGGAACCTGAAGCGACATTATTGAAAAGAATACTCTTCGTTCATATAAATGGGTTTTAATATATTGAGAATTTTTCAGCGACTAATATTATTGTGCTTAGTTGTATACTGCTTCCCAATATTGAAATATTAGACCGCACTGATGAAACCTTAATACATTTGCAATTATTAGCTGAAATGTAAACATGTAGATCATATTTATATATTGAAGGTGAGACGAAATAAATGGTATAACTAAATATGCAATGTTTAGGATGCCCAAATGAGTTGTAGGTAAGACATTTCAAACTTAATCTCATTAGACTATGTTGCCTCATATGGCTAAAACATATTTTTCATGAGTTTAGATAACAAAAATGTTTGGTTAAAAGTAAATAGTCGAAGAAGCATCATGGAAGCTTTACGAAAAGAGCTCACTAATTCATACAGCGGGCTATCGATAATTTAACAAATTATGCGTTAGTTTTTGCTGATCGATTGATAAATTTTCTACCTTTTTAACGCCATACCTATCCTTTTCTTGTTTTCTAATATTTTCATTTATTTTAAGATGTTTGCTTCTATACCTGATAGTGATATCATCTTGTTGTTATCTAAATATCTGACTGATTCACAAGATTCTTCGAAATTCAAAATTATATCAATCACAGTTGATTTATATTTAAAAACAAAAAAAACTGTCACCGACTAAAGGTTTTGCACATATTTTTCTTTACTTGTAGAGTAATTGGTACCATAACAAATTCAGAAGAATTTGCCAAAGTTTTCAATTGTCCTCCAGGATCTTCAATGAATCCTGTAAAGAAATGTCATGTATGGTAAATATTATTACTGATTATCATTTTTAAACAAAACGCTACGTTTCTATCCCATTTTCTTTCCCATTCCCATTTTTTGAATAATTCGAACAATTTTACATAATAACAAATCTTTATTTTTATCATCACTATTGTCTTTATTATTAAAATGATCTCTATTGTTATCATCATTATTATTGTTATTAACATTCATATAATTTTTATGCAAATAAATGAAACGTGATTAAGCTCAATTCCAACACTTGATAATCAATGTCTTTTAATGATGTCAATATATTCCGAAGCAGATGGATATGTGTGTGTGTTTATTTTGTAGTTCACTTTGTTTGATTCTTTTTTTATTAAGGGAGTATATAAACTTTCAACCTAAATGTATTCATATGAATGTATACTCTTATCTATGTAAATGTTAATGTGCTTGTTTGTATGGTATATATATATATATGCGTGTGTGTGTGTGTGAACTCATTTACAATCATACATGGAAACCATTATCAATGGATAATTTTTATTCGATTAATGAACATTGAATTTGTGATCCTACATAATCGTTTGTAATTTCTAAGATTCCTTTTATTGTGATTAATAATCAGATTATTAGTGGAAAAAAAATTTTTTCTTTTTGTTTTCTTTTTTTCTTTCATTAGTTGTTCTTCTCTCCCATCTTTTTTTCTTTTATTTTTAATTACGTGATTGAAATTAGAAAAAAAATAATTCATTCGCTTCACTTATATTTCGTTTGTGCTTTTCTTTTTTTTGTTATTCTTTTGTGAATATTTTTGTGCCTGATCTTGAAATGAATAAAGAAAGAAATAAATGCATAGAAACACAGTTAGATGATCTATTTTACTAAAGTTCTTACTATTATTACAATTAGTTGCAGTTTTTTTTTTAAAGAAAAAACAACCCCATATTTGTATTACAGTGTATTCAACATGTTTGGTTTTTTATTGTCCAAGTATAAAATGTTTTTTTTAAAAGTAATAATGTAATGGCATATATATATGTGGTCTAGTCTTCTGTTCAGTTATGAATAATGTATTTAATAGTCAATATGATTTTATCCTCATTATTATTGTTTAATTCTTCAGTTATGTGGGAATCTGTCAAGTTAATCAATAACATTTTTTGTTGAAACTCCAGTGGTGTTCATCATCGTATGTTTCATTTGTTTAAACATATGATAAATAGATACTGGTTTCATTCTTCTAAGTTACGAAGAAATTTTAAAATAATTATCGAGTATTAGTAGGCTGAAATTCAAATATTTTTGTTTATACTGAAAAGAAAGCAATCTATTCTCTCTGTTTGTAGATATCAATGCCCAGATCGGACTTAATAGTTTCAAATAAATTGAACACTGGTTAGAAAGTTAATAATGAACATGTTTTTAGTCATATCTTGATTAGGTTATTTGTTTACTCCTAAGAAGCGGATAACACTGAGTCACCAAACTTTGGAAATACCATTTTCCTACTTTACTGTTCCCTTTGTTGTTTTATTCTAATCTGTAATCATCCTCTCTGAGATCTATTATCTTCTTTTATTTCGATGACAGTTCTAAAGGCAAAGTGACTTTAAAGTAATAATATACTTATATATTTACTCTGATTTAATTTCGTCTATTTTCACAATGCACTCACATTTATTCAGTTTTAAGTCGTTCCATTTTTGTGATAATCTTATAATACTGCCTGGTCATTCAAACTGAAGCAGATGAACTAAGTTTTGAATTTATAACGCAATAATTAAAGTCACTTTTTTAAGAGATTACTCACCTGTCCTCACACTGAAAACTAAGGGTAAGTGAAAAAGGGATCTGATATTTTGTAAGCGTATGTTAAAATAGAGGGAAATTTAATGACTCTATGAGATCAGTCACCTGAGCTAATGTACATTAGTGTAACCGAGTAACAATTACTTTCAACCCAAAACAGCCTCAAAGAATAACTGTTTGTATTATATTGAATCGATAGGTTATTGGTCAGTTTTTAAAAACCCAATATAACTTTGAAACTCACTTGTCATCTGTCAAATCACTATAGGTATGACACACTTCAAAATATGATTACGTGAAGAAATTTGTTACTTAAATTTGAAGAACCTTCTGGACCACTTATTGTACTTTTATGTTTGTCATCTTAAATGACAACCTTAGCACTTCAAAAAGCATATTATCACTATTGTTTAACTACTTCTAGGCCTCTTAAATTGATTGAAAAGTCTGAATGATTATGAATAGTTTTCTGATGTTAATTGGTGAAAATCATTTGATTTTATTTTTGATGGGGCCATGAAAAGGTTAATAACATAGTAATCAAGCTGTTTCGTTAAATAGTAGTAAACCATAAAAATCATTTGGCACTATTAAAGTAAATACAGGGAATTCGGTATTATTGCCTACAAACGCATACCATATTACCTGACCTGTAACTATTCAAATGCTACTTTAATGACAATGTTTATTTCCAATATTTATTTGGTTTAATCAATTTATATAAAAAAGAAAGAACAGAATTTTCAGAATCAAACGAATTCAATATACTTCAGGACTTTCATCACTTCCATGCAGGGTAAAGCTTTAAAAAGCAAACTGAGTAGTGACAAACTTTTTTCATACATTAATTAATGACGACGGGGTAAATGTTCAAAACTACTTAAAAAGTCATAATAAGACAAAGGCTACACAAATATGTGTATAAACTAGAATTAAGATGAGTCACTAGTGTTTTCCTTTGAAGAAACTAGTTACATAGAGTACGAGAGGGTGAAATTACAAATCATGAGAAGCTGAAAAATATGATGGATTCATTTTGCTTTACAAATCTTGTTTAAGGTATTTTCCTAAATTTCATGTAATGTACCAAACTACTTATTAGTAGTCTAGTTTCGCAAACAAGATTTCGTCATTGATAGTAAGAAATTCTAAATTTCGCATTACAATGATTCAGTTATAACGTCATCTTTTCTGTTCCATCAACTGACCAATCCTGTCAATAAACTACTACGTTCTGCCATGCAAGTCGCTATATCTTAGTTTTACTTTGTTTTTAAGGGAAACTTGTATATAACCGATGATAGATGTAAAGTAAAAATGGTTTTGAATGACCCTACAATGTTAAACAAACATTGGAAATGAGTGTGTACAGGCCGCATAAAAGATATTTATGGCTTTGCCGTAAGTACTATGACCTTAGTACGTGTCTAAAATACCTTTTGTATAGGTAAGGTAGCGATGTAAGTAAGCCACACTTTCAGTTGTTCGATAAGTAGGTTGTTCAATATTCTATGTTAAATAACTATAATATACAATGAAAATCAATGACAGTTTTGATATTTCCGTACCCACAAATAAATATTTTTAAACCATGGAAAGCAAATGTCATTTTCGAACATTCTACCGGCAGTTACTTCCATATGACTTGGTTAACTATAAAAAGAACCAGAAATCTTTTCCTCATTCAATTATTTTATATGGCTTCCTATTTTTAATTTACAAAAGATCGTTTTCATTATCTGTTCATGAGGTAAACATCACTGAATCGGTAAGCAGCTGTCAATAGTCTAATCAGTTAATTATTAATGTAGCTTGGACATAATATAATGACATCACTCCCGCTATTCTAGTAATAAAAATTACTTCATCGTATTCATATTTCGTTTTAATTGTATTTCTTACTGCTAAATATCGAAAAATTACCATCATTCAGAATTGATGTAACATTGAGTCATTTATGTATATATATGGTGTTACAGTTTGGGTTACAATAATACTGGATCTAATAATTTTCCCTCCCATTATTATTATTGAGGACTACCAACGATTTCTATTAGGATATGAGCTTTTCACACCGATGCTCCAATATTACCAGTAGCTACAAGCTAACTATACTTTGAATAATTGCTAACGATAGAATTTAGGATACGATTTTCGACCTTATAATTTATACAAACATTTCAGTAAATATAAAGTGCTCAGTTGGTGATGCAAGTGAGCATTATAATAGTTTTCGACAGTTTTTCAATACTTTTTAACCAATATGCTTGCTCAGATTTTTCATCAGCCCATAATTTTCTACAATCAATTAATTCTAAAATATTAAAGAATTCAATTAATTTACTTAAATCTTCCCATTAATGTTAAGGACTGCAATCGATCAATCTCTTATTGGCATATGTGAATCCTGTGTGGACTGCCTCAGTATTGTCTTAAGTCACAAGCTTTGTAAGCAAAGATGGATAGTGGCTAGTAGTGGAATCCAGGATGCACGTTTCGTTCTATTTGGGACTTGTCAGCTGAATTCATTTTTGTAGGTGACAAATTTGGGCATAGTCAAGTTATAGTTCACTTATTTTATTATTAAAAATATAGTACAATATGAAGTCGCTTTCACAATATTTTGTGTACTAGTACAGGAGTAACTAAGAAAATTACTCCACACTAGTAATTATTTACTTAGTGAATTTATGCTATTGAACTTCGGTAAAACGTTTAGAATGTTCATCAGTTTATGGCATTAAAATGCACATTTTAAAAAAACTAGAAAAACTACCTCATCACCAAATTTGCTAACGATTTCAACAAACCAACCATATTTAACATCTGAAAGCTTATTACAAATGAATGGAATACTCTAGTACAACATAATATGGCAAAACATTTGTTCACTGAACGATCTTATCGAATAAATCGAATATATTATTCATTTATTATAGCTTTGTATAAAATAGCGAATATTAATGTGAAGTCTACCAACACAAAGTTGCAAAAATCTTTCAGATCAAACAAAGTATTTGTTTATTTATATAATCTCAAGCTCATATGAAATAGTACAGTTTTAATAGATAAATAGAATAATGTTCTTGTGATATAGGCTATTTTTTATACAATCCCAGATTTCAGTGTAGCTACATATATACATATGTCCATTTTCTATTGTGTCCCTATCTATATACTAATATTACTCTACCTGATTTTAAGAATTTTCCAGATTTAACCAAATGAGCTAGTTGGATGAACATTAGGGCAAAGGGCTGAATGTGATTTTCTAGTTTTTACATGGGTTTAAAATAAGGTATAATATACATAGATAAGAAAAACGGTATTGTATACTTTTAAAAAGTCTGATTTAGTAATGCATTTAAAAATGAAACCAACACTTCCCAGTGGTTGATTACTGAAGAGTTACTTATACTATATTTATGTGACTCGTATTGCCAAGAGAATCCCATCGATTAGGTTAGTGACAAGTCTCAATCAGAACTATATTTAGGCTCAGGGATTATTAGTAACTAGCTCCATCTACTTGTCACTGAAATATAGCGCACATCACGTTGAGACATATAAGATGATGCTGTTTTGGTAAAGTTACTGTTGATGTTGACTCAATAATAAACAACGTAGTATGCTGTTTCATATTGACATCTAAGTACATTTATTTTATTAAATGGAGAGAGCCTAACAGATCTACGTTCATCCTACTGACATATTAGACTAATTAGATTGGGTGACATACCAAGAAAATAACTGTTTACATGAATGAGACCTATTTATTGTCAAATGACTCTCTATGTAAAATTAATTACAAGTGAAAAACAATGAATTTCTGTAATAAATAATTCCATGATAGAAAAACTTTTCTATTTACCATTTCAGAAAAAAATTCTACATTTAATTATACCAGATATGAATTAAAGCCTTTTTGAAGGCAGTACCTTTTACAAAAGAAAACAGAAAATTCTACATTTCCTTCTTGTTATGAGAACCTACTGTTTGAATGTCTAGAATAAAACAATATCAAAATAGATCATGATCTGATATTTCTGTTTATGATCTAGGCGGATTGTGTAGAAAACATTCATAAGGATATAAGCACAGATGGATGATGGCTAGCAGTGGAATTCAGGACGCGCGTTTCGCCCTATTTGGACCTGCTTGGTTAATTGTATTCTTAGACAAAAGGAATCGTCATTATTTTTACACTATACAATACTTTATTATGTAGGAGAAAGAATTGAATTTATTCACCATGCTTTACTAATTGATGATACCTATTTCATTTTTATTGAATATAATTCATCATTAAATAAATTTCCCAATTTAGTAACAACAATTTGGTAGAAAATTACAAATTACAATCTTTTTTTAAAGTAGTACTGAGAACTTTTAAGTTATATACTACTTAAAGGACTGCTTACGGGTACATGTACAACGGAACACCTATTCACTCCCTTTTAGTTGAAATTTTCTGGATTATATCATTTGACAATAAAAATAATTTATTATTGTATACTTAAGAATATGAAACACCGAATAAGCTTCTGTAAATAAGACTATTTAGTTCAATTTGAAGTGAACTGCATTATCCCGTTGTTGTTGTTTTAACGGAATTTTGACTTCCCTTGATTAACATATGTGCACCCTGTATAGATTGCCTCAAAATATTCATTATGACATAAGTTATTATAGAATAGATGGAATGTGGCTACCAGTAGAATCGAGGATGTTTTGTTTCGTTTCATTAGGACCTCATTATCTGAAAACAACTGCATCCCAGAGTTTGATAGCTTTTTGAACTCATTAGCTAGGTGAATGATGAGATAGAGCTTAAGGAGAACATATCTGTATTCAACTCTCGGAGTAAACTTCAACTGTGGGATGAAAGGACATCCAAACGATGGGTTCTAGTTAGGATAAATTTCATATTCCGTAGTTTACAGATGAACACATTACATCTTTATTTTTCTCAAACTTAAACTATATCAATCAAAATATATATACCACTATAAAATGAACAAAACAAAATAAATGAGAACAAATCAAGTTTAAAATAATAAGATATATTTATATCACCGCTTTAAATATTAGGTAAATGTATTGTTGTCTTAGATTTTTGACTTAATTGATTATATTGTTGTTTAAATGAATGATCGTCTGTATTTTGGCGCATAAAACGTATAGGGATATGTAATGGTGAATATGATGATAAATTTAATAATGATTTATAATAATTTTCATTTGTAGATTCTATTGTATTTAATAATGATGTTGTTGTTGTTGTTGTTACTGTTGTTGAGGTTGTAGTTAATATAATTGTTTGAGCTACATTTGGCATAGATATAGATAAATTATAAAATCCATGATTTAATGCTGGTTTACCGGTTGATGAACCCATTGATATTGTTGTTAATGCTAAATTAGAATGTGTTGGATGAAATTGTAAATTATGATTATTTTGATTAATTTGTGTATGATTTGAAAAAATTGGTTTAATTAATGATATTGGAGCATGTGGTCGTGAATCACCATATATATTACTATTATTATTACTATTTATTGAATTAGTAGTACAAGTAACTGCCATGGTAACAGAAGTTGTAGAATTAAGATTTGTTGCTGTTGTACGATAAAATGTTTTATGAGTAGAGATCAATGGTAAAGGCTAAAAAACAAATAGTCGTTAAATATAGAAATTATAGTCATTTCTTTATATTACTAGACTACTTATTTAATCAAGATACAACAAGTAAGCAAGATTGTTATTCATAAGTTTCCTAGTTATTTATCATAATCAGATATAATTTAGTTTTGGGTTGTTTACAAACCAACGAAACACTTTAAAATTATGATAAAAGTCTTTGATTCTATGAGAATAAATCAATTTTATAACTTGTTTCCATATCATTGATAAATTACAAAGAAGTTTTAAAGGACTGTTGTATTCTAAACATTCCTTATCAAATATTCTATTTTATTATTAATTTCATCATGTGGAAATCTAAAAATGTTTCCTATTATATTCAAACCGATATCTAATCTGAAGGGGGGTTTTATGGAGATTTTAGTAATTTTATATAGTTGAAATCATGAGTCAATTGATAATGATCATATGCTCACTAGTGACTGACACCATGAGGTATTTCATGGAGTTCTAGTGAGAAGCAGCAACCAGTGTTCAAATCACATCTGATGGGAGATATCAACTCACTGAAGACGTTGGTGAATGGTTGTTCAATTTCGTGGATTGGTTGAAGTTAGACATTAACACCATTGGATACCGGCCCAGTAGTCTAGTGGATAAGTGCTCGCGCGCGTAACTGATAGATCTTGGGTTCAAATATCGTGAGGCGAGATCATGGATGCGCACTGTTGAGGAGTCCTATAGTAGGACGAAATGGCCGTCCAGTGCTTCCAGGTTTTCCATGGTGGTCTAGCTTTAATTGACTCATGATTTCAACTATATAAAATTATATCTAATCTGTTGTTAGCCTGTACTTTGTAGACTGCACTAGTGGTTGGAGTTTATTGTCAAAATATTTTTGATTGATTTAAACATTACATCACGAAGCCAGTAACAAGTATGAAATAACAACATATTCTTGACCGTTGTGTATTTTTTCTTGATGGTACCCAAAGTTTTTCAGAAAGACTTGTAATATCCACAGAATCAGTCAATCTTGAATATTATCAACTATTTGAAAAAAAATTAAAAATAACTGAATATAATATTTAACGATACACGTTTGCAGTTCATATACTGACAGGCGTAGTCCAATCCGTGTTGAGTGTGAGACAGTTATCCAACGAAGACTATGGATGAAGGGTTGCGCAAGATCATGGATCAAGTGAAGTTAGACATTAACATCGTTTGATCCCTGCTCAATGGTCTAGAGGCTAAGCGTTCGTGTGCGTGACGGAGAGTTCTGGGTTAAAGTACCATGTACGGAATCGTGGATACTCACTGCTGGGGAGTCCCAAACCAGAACCAAACGACTGTCTAGTGCTTACAGATTTTCATCGGTAGTCTAGATTAGATCGACTGGTGATTTTTACTGTTAAGATACTATGATCTAAAATTACACATACTCATACAGAAATAATCGTAAGATACGATTTACAAACGAAAAAGTTTAAAATATCCTGAAAAACTTAAATCTTATGAAAAATAAATCAATCAGATTGCTTTTTCTTCCTGCGGAACATAGTTCAGCATATTTAACACAGCAATAACATTTCACATTGTTATAAGATATCTCTTACTTTGTATATTCAATTTTTTAATCCATAAATTTTAGTTAGCATTAATTAGTAAAACATGGTTTAATTCAGTTATCATTAATAAACTAATATTCATTATTTAAACAAATTCCTATGTTATCTAGATAATTTTATAGTTGAAATCATGAGTTAATTGAAGCTAGACTACCACGGAAAACCTGAAAATACCGGATGGCCGTTTCGTCCTATTATGGGACTTATCAGCAGTGTACATCCATGACCTCGCCTCATGAGATTTGAACGTAATACCTATCAGTCTCACTCACGAGAGCTTAACCAACTTTAAATTTTATTTAGTAAAGTAATCGATACTTTTCATGTACTAATAAGAAATATTTTGATATATTTATAATAGACAAATCTTATATGATTTATATGCATGTGATTTTCTATAGTTACTCCCATAGTCAATAAGAAGTAAAAGGAAGAAGGATAGATTTATTGTACGCCCAAAGAATTTAATATAATTTCAATGAAATGACTCATTTTTCAAAAAAGACACAAATGGTTTCTTTTTATTTTCTATCAAATAATAAATTATTAAAAAAAATTGATAAATGAAACTTGTTCAATAAGTTGGATTTCATAGTTTGCGTGTTCTATTATGAAATACTAATTAGTAATTTAAACAAAATGAAAAACGATATACATTAATCAATTAGGTTTATGACTAAATTTAAACTATCCACCTTTGATTTTATAGGTTCAATGTTTAATTAGATTTATTATAAATTCTAAATACTAGAACTATTTCAATTTTAATTCAATGATTGTTTATGTCTTACTAAGTAATGGATCTTTCTAAATATAATTATTTCTGTGTTGTGTTTGCTACTTATATCAACATAAGTAGTATATAACACTAGAATGTCTGACAGCAGAAGGTCGAGAAGATCGAGAAGAAAAGAACGGGAACAGAAAGTAATTAGTATGGAAAATTGAAGTCTAAGACGATTGATTGATATTTGCAAAAGAACAGACAAGTTTGAGATAATTTATTGATATTTCGCAAATGAAGTATTTACTGTATGGTTCACAGATTTTACTAAAAGATTCTGTAATTTTATGTTAGATTTGCATTCGATTTTCCCTATCTGTGTTCTTGTTCACTACACTTTAGGTAATATTAACACTATGCAACATTTTTTGAATCAAGATGCTGATGGTTTATATTTTACATGGATCTATACCTTAATTCAATAAATTATCCCAAATATATGATATAGAATAGTTTAGAAGTAACATGAGAGGTAAGAATTATTATGCACTGATGTGATTACTTAACATTAAGAAATGTGTTTCTAATACATTTTCCATCCAACTACTAATACAAATTTATAAGAAAAGAATTACTCTCAGTAAATTAGAATAATAATAATACTCAACAAATTTTGTTGAGACTCCCATGGGAAACCTGAAAGCACTGGACGGCCATTTCGTCCTATTATGGGACTCCTCAGCAGTGCGTATCCATGACCTCGCCTTGCGAGATTAGAACACAGGACCTATCAGTCTGAGTTTACATTATAAAACTGAAAAGATCATTTCGTTACATTAAGATTTTTTTTAAATATGTAAAAAATATCTCTATTAGAAGAAAAGAGCGGTCCAGTGCTGTTTTAGTCTTGAATAATTGTCTCATTGAAGTCAGTTCCAAAACTGTGAAACAACAAATAAGCAAGTACATTAATGTCCACAACTACATATAGATATTGAAAACAAAACAAATTATATCACACTTTTATTTACCTTTTTCACAATAGAATCCCATGTATTAATAGGTTTCTGACTAAATCCAGGCATTCTCATTCTTGGTTGAAGAGTTGTCTTAAATGGATATGAAATTGGATTGATAAATTTATTATTTCCAACTTTATGATCAATTTTTTTTGATGAAGTTTCATATCCCATTAATTTTTCATTTTTTGGCATTAGATTAGATGATGAACTAAATTCATTTATTATATTGGTCCCTAAATCTAAAATAAAAATAAAATTGAATAAACATTTTAAAACAAAATATGCTACACTTTAACGATAAACATTAATGTCAGAAGGGGTTTTTGAGGAGATTTAGTATTTGCATAGTTGAAAGCATGAGTCAATTGAAACTAGACCACCAAGGAGAACCTGGAAGCACTGGATGGCCGTTTCGTTCAATTGACTCATGCTTTCAAGTATGCAAATACTAAATCTCCACAAAAACCCCTTCTGATCATAATCATGTGCTCACTAGTGACTGACTTCGAGAAATACATCCAGGAGTTCTAGTGGGAAGCAGTTACCAGTAGAGTTTAAACCACGTCTGTTGTGAGATATCAACTCACTGAAGACAATTGGTGAACGGTTGCTCAACTTCGTGGATTGGTCGGAGTTAGACATAAACACCATCGGATGCCGGCTCAGTGGTCTATCGGTTAAGTGCTCTGGCGCAAGACTGATAGGTCGTGGGTTTGAATCTTGCCAGGCGAGGTCGTGGATGTGCGCTGCTGAGGAGTTCCACAGTGGGACGAGTCAGCCGTCCAGTGCTTCCAGGTTTTCCATGGTGGTATGCCTTCAATTGACTCACGCTTTCAACTATGAAAATAAATATTAATGTCAATATTTGGAATATAATGAAATTTATTTTTATAATAAACTTTAAATTCTATTTAAAGCAATTAGTCCCTTTGATAAATTTCGATAGTGTAATAAGAAGATGAACATTATCAGAACTATGTGATATATTAGAGCAATGTGTTTCGAGCAATCTGATCACACAGATACTAGTTACGAATATTTATATATAAAAATAAAAGGTCAACTAGACTGGAAATGGGGAGGGCAAGAATAGACATGGATAATAATAATAATAATAATAATAATAATAATAATAATAATAATAATGTGAAAACAATTTGACACCTAATCATTCTAGATAATAAGTTAATATTACCATGGTAGGTTTAAGGTGAGAACAAATTGTTTTTGAACACACAAAGGAGGTTTGAATTTTTGTATGGCTAAGGCTTAAATAAACCTAAGTGTACGCCCTTTTACACTTTTATGCAACACCACAAAAGCCGAGTTAAGATCAATCTGATAGCCTGTTTCGCTTATGTGTTTGGCAATAGAGGATGATGGATGTTTAGCCTCCACTCTTATCGGGTCATTTGATTCTATTAGTTTCCGTAACCACTTTGGTACATCTTCACACACCTTAATTTTCAGATCACGATTGCTCCTCCCTATGTATGTGTGACCACGCACACATTTAAGTTGGTACACGCAGTGGGATGTGGCACAATCGTTTTCATGTCTTTTAGGTTTCGAATGAAGCATGGACCTCGTTCTCTCTTTGATAATGACCTTCGCTGCACAACACGTTTTGTTGATGACTGGTTTAAGCCTTTGTTTCAATAAAAGGCTATTTGAATCGCCTCTAAATGGTGAGGTGATGTAGACAGGTTTATTTCCACAAAGGCTACAGTAGGTCTCACTGTGCCATGAACTTTCCATCTCTCGATAAATTTAGGTGTATAACCATTCCCCACTAATGTCTTGTTTAATAACTTAACATCATCATCAATAGCGTCGTTTGTGCAAATACGATCAAGCCTGTTAAATAGGCATCTTATCAAACCCCGTTTGTATTGCACAGGGCAATAACTATAGTAACTAAGGTATTGGCCCGCCCATGTCGGTTTTCCAAAAATGGACCGTTTGATTGAGCCATCTTCTCGTCTGCTTAGAAGTATATCCAGGAAGGGAAGCTGGTCCTTCTTCTCCTCTTCGCATGAAGGACTGATGTGGCTTTGAATAGTGTTAAGTTTATTCAATAGATAGTTCATATCATCCTTTTTTCACAGATAACTAGGATATCGTCCACATATCTCTTATAAAATGACACGTTTTCGATTAATTCTTCAGACAGATTTTCAATATGTGCTATAAACACATTTGTTAATAATCGTCCTAACGGACTACCCATAGCAAATCTATGGGTAGTCTGGCGAAAGTATTCCCCATAAAAAAGTGAATTGAACTTTGTCAGTACATAATAGTAATAAATCTTTAAGAATTTTTAAAGGGATAGGTTATCCTATTGATCTTCTAGTGAAATATATTCTCTGCCTGACCATCGTCAAATACTACTTATGTGGATGTAAGCAACCCACAACATACTACTAAAAAATATCACTTTAATATAAGATCAAATCATTAGTTTACAGTTGTATGAATTGCTGTATAGTTTAGGTAAATAATTTAAATTTGAACATTTACAGTATTTTTTATATTTCTGAAATTTTATTTATATCTAATAAGTAATTTCTCTGATTAATTCAGTAATCATTACTGACTTACTAAGATATGGATTTCTTGAGTATCAAGCAGAGTATATAACCCACATAGATTAGATGTAAAAATTAATGTTAGACACTGGTACTATGAACTGATTGAAATTTGTATCTTCTATATAATATTTGAATTTGAAGTCATTATTAACTTATTCACTACATATACCTGAAAATCTATCGCTTTAGTTTGGATGCTGTTTTAAATGAACAGTTATAAAAAGCTTCAAGTTAAAGTAAAACAACTTTGAAGTGTTTCCTGATTTTATGTCTAATGCCATTTCATGATACAGTTTTCAGAGTGTATGTGTTAACAGACAACTTGGTTGATTCATTCTTAAAACTCAGAAAAATTAAATAATTAATGTGTAGTGTAAAGCTATTCCACCATGTAATTGAACACTAAAATAGTAACATTGATGTTAAACGTTCAGAACAGATTTTAGATATGATAAGATTTTTTGTTTCTTATCACTTAAGGATATGTCTTATGTTACACACAGACATTTAGTATTGTGATACTTACTTACTTACTTACATACGCCTGTTACCCGTAATGGAGCATAGGCCACCGACCAGCATAGTATTGTGATGAATTGCTCTAATTCGGTTTGTTATGTTTTTAAAATCACAGTTATTAATGTCTCAGTTAGTATTTTTCAGAAATTGATTTCATATTTACTGCTTTCAACTCAGCTGAGTAGATCTAGACTCAAAGTCAGATGTTATTCAATCGATTGTTTATTTATTTATTTGTCCACCTCAGTATACTCCATGTTTTTTGTCAAAAGAACTTAGTTAACTTTTCTAGTATTAAACAAAATGATCTGTAACACCTCGTATTGATTGAGTACTATGTAAAATTAGACAACAACAACAACAACCAAGATATACTAAGTTCACTATTATGGCTGACACGAATTTAACCTCATTAATATGCTCTGTTGATGTATTGTTTGTGTCATAGATTTTCTACATGGTACGTTTCAAATCAACCGATTTATATTTTTTTCAGTAAGCAATAAGTACAAGACGAAGGTGGAACTAGTCACTACTCAGTGATTAACTGATGTATATTTCTAAACAAAATAGGTTGGTTATGAGATGAATAATTCAATGGTAAAGTCTGAGATTGTCAAATTATGTGACCTGATCTCTCTCAAAATTCTAGGCACAACTTGTTGATAAGTGTTATCTAGCAAGAAACTTAGGTTCAGCTTCTTTTACCGACTTCTTCTAACCACACAACATAGTAAGCCTTGATAAGAGTGACTGAAAAATATAGCAAATTCATATTCTGATTTGACAGTAAAAATTAATAGTTTTTTCTTGTTCGGACTATTCAGCGTCTGTGTGATCAGATCGTAAAACAGGAGAGCAGCTGTATTCATCTGATTCAAATATTAAATAGTTCGCTTAGACTTTTTGTCTTATACCAACGAATGTAAACGAAACAATGATTCCAGACAGGACGGTTACGAAAGTTCAACTTTGCTTTGTAGTGGTTGGTACTACGTCAAGCTTTTCAACAGACCAATTTATCCATTCTTCTTAAGCCACATTTTGAACTTGTTGATTATTTGCTTATTAACCATGACTTCTTTTATATGATTGTATGTATGTTAGTTGCTTACCTTATCTATCACATGTCTGTAACTTATTTTTGGTTTGGCTATAAATATCGAGTTAAGCTTAGTCGAATTGAATTAGATCACTTGCCTTCGTTTTACATTTTCCAAACGAGATTTCCCACTTCATTTCGTTTCTCTGTTTCCTTCATTTAGTTTTTTTTGATTGTCTGTCTAGACTAATGAGTGTTAGAAATTAAGTCTTCAAAATTCAATCTCGTATTTGGCCTATTTTATTCCGTTATCGTCTAACGAGGATTAAGTCGTTAGCGGTATGCATATTTCAATGATAGTCGTCAAACGGTCAAACTGGAGACCGATATTGAGCCACAAGAGCTTAATACTTATCCCGACATAGCAAATTCTTTCTTCAGTTGTTATTATTGCAGTAGTCATTTTCATAAAGAGGATTTATTGTACAAGATGTTAATACGTTGTATAGACGTCTTTTTGAATAAATTACTTACTTATTCAATTGACAAAATATATTTGCTTAATGTAGTGTACGATTTATTCAGGAATATCATATTGAAAATCGTATTGAGTAGAAAAAGCGGAAGTAAGGATTAGAACAATGTGAATATATATATTTATGCCAAATTTCATGACAAATAAAATGGTTAAAGACCAGTTATTTTTTCGGTTAGAAGAAAACAAGCTAATATTGATAACTTAAACTAATCCAAGTGTGTTTTCCTCAATGCTTTTTTTTCTTGTGGAGAGCAAAGTTTAAACTTTTCTTAAAATGTAATATTAATATTATTTTAACGAGTTACTATGGTAAAAGGATGAATAAACGGGAAAAGAAATTGTACAGTTTATTTAGTTGTACATGTTTATTCAGTCGGTATAATCCATATATTTGGGTTGACTGAGCGACTTAACTCACACTTGTATCATTTTCTAATATCTTTAACTATCATTTTCATGTCTGTTACTATAGTGACTAAGAAACTAAATGAATAATGAAATAAAATTTGTGCTTTTGTTTTTTTCCCTTTTATCTAAAGTCTTTATTTATCAATGTAAGAAGTTAACTTATTATGAAATACTTTTTTACTTTATAATCTACTTAAATTTGTTGATTGTATCAATGTTCATAGCTAAATAGTCGGAAACGTAATTCTACTATTGATTTGTATACGTTTCTTTGTATGAGTGTAACAACCTCAGTAATATAGAAAGGGAAGTATATGGAGAGAAAGAATATTTAGTCTTATAGACTGATAAATTGTATAATACTTAATATGAAGTATAGGCAAGATATAAGTATTTAAATAACATTTTCTAGTTTTATGTATTTGTAAACTCATATCAATTAAGCGATTATGGGTATAGTAAACTTTAAAGGTGTATAATTAGACACTTACAAAGTTAACCTAAATTATTCGGGTATATAGCTGGTGATCAAGTGTTTAATATATATGAGCTGGGTGGGAGTGTAATAAATTTATTGATTGTCTTAGATGACAATTATATACCTCTTATAAGTTCTTTAAAATCAGCCGTCTCTTGGGTTTGTTTACCGTATGATTGTGATTTATATAGTAAAACGTTTGATACATTTCATTACATAATAGGCAAACTGATCTAGCATGTATTAGTAAGCTAGATACTTGAATCAAATTATCGAATCCCTTAAAGTAAACCAGTATCTAATTATATCTTTTATCTTTTATACAACTGCAGTAACAAAACTTCAAATTTACTAAGAACACCAAATACTTCATAATTTTCAAGTTATAGACAATATTTTTACCTTGAATTTTACATGACAATTTATTATTTTTCTCAGATAAACTATGCATTCCAAAATATGGATGCTTCAGTAGCTCAGCACAACTCCATCGTTCTGAAGGATCCATTCGTACACAAGCCTATTGACAAAGGAAAAATTATTGTTCATTAACAAAATTATTTGTTACTCTGTACTATGATAACAAAATCATGCATTGATAGGAACCGTTTACAATGAAACTTTCACCAGTTGTTTAGGATATTTCAAAATAAATCAGAAATAACTGAAACTACATTTGTTCAAGTAGTTTCTTACGATTGCCGTAGTCGAAACGATGATAATTTCCAATGATTGATCACTGAATGTTGACGAACAACATTTTTGTCGAGTTCATTTGCCTAATGTCCCATTAACCCATTTAGTATTGATGCATATGACAACGAAAAATGGTGTGTGTCACAATTCTTGTATATTTACTAACGGATTTTGGCTTCCATTCCCACGGTAATATATTTCAGGTGGATAATATGTGGAATAATCTCAGGAATACAAACTAGCTAGTCAGTATTCAATCAATATTGCTAATCACGTATCATAGTATTTGATTTGTTTTCATAATAAATAGCCATTCTAGGTTACTGAAAACGCCTTTATATAGCATGTTACTTACTTCAAATAACCACATTATAACAGAAAATTAAATTTATTACATAATAATGATTATAACCTGCAAAAAATCCAATTCTCTTGGGCTTAGCGTCAGGGGATAGGTTTTCTCAAACCGCTTCTCTAATGGCTCCTAAAATCAAATAATGTATAAACACCAAAGATAATTATAGTTAGTTTGTAGGGTTAAAATCTCAGTACTTCATGTTTAAAACAATAAAATAACATTGATTTCTTCTTGATATTGACGGTTACTTAAGAGAAACTGATCTACAGTTTTTTGATTGACTTTATTTATTCGTTTGCCTTTATAATATGACTTTTAGTTTGCTCATAAATATTATTCAACTGGACAGATGCTCAGTTTAAAGTTTGAATCGGTATTGTGAGCAATACCAAGTGAATTTAAACTTCACCCTATTGCACAAGCAAGTGGTTACCAGGACTCAGTAGCTAAATGGATAACACGATGGTGTTTGAAGCAAAAGGTACCGGTTATGAGTCCCAGAGTCAACATCAAGTCTTAGATCAGGTATATCCACCTAACAAGTCCCAAATAGGATGAACCGTGCATTCTGTATTCCACTGCTAGACACTATCCATCTTTGCTTATAAAGTTTAAACTTTGATTTGAAGTTACGATTAATTAATTACAGTTTTGTATTTCATTTCACGTCAGCGTTTGAAACACAAATAAATTTCTAAAGCCGAAGGATTTTCTGTACATAAATTAAAATATTATGGGTCATTGGGACTAAATGAATTATAAGTACATTTGCCGTTAATTGGTTATCAGTAATCATAATGAAGAAATACATTTGAGCATTTTGCTTTTTGGTATTGACTTGAAAAGAACTGAAACTACTTAAAATCAGAACATGTGTATAATTTAAGATTGATTACTGATGAGCCCATGATTGTTATTATTATCCCAGAAGGTTTGTGTAGACTTTTCTTGTGCTGTTTTGAGGGGGAGATCAATAATGAACTAAATCGTAAGATTCCTCAGTAGTACTTAGTAATTTTGAATGTGAGCCTCATTTATGCCATATCTAAAAAAGTATTAACATTTTGACACCATATATCTAGTAACTTTAATGTTTTGGTTGCAGCTTGTGATTTTATGAATTAACTAAGTCATACAAATATGGCTTGAAAGATTTGACGAAATTCGGATATAATCATACTTATGACAGCTTACTGTGAATACTTTTTTAGTTCAATATAAAGTATGGAATATTATTCAAAAACTTACCACAGATGTTGAAGATGGGACTTGAATACCAGCAAAGTATTTACTTTGTTCAAATATATGACGGTGTCTGGGATAAAGATCACCTGAAAGATAGTGAATAATCTAAATCAGAAAATTTAGCCAGATTTAATAAGACATTCGGGTTAATGTAAAAACCTGTAATATATTTTAATTGAAATAGAAGCTACTCAGTTTGATTTGAGCATTTTATCAAGTTATTACGCCCAAAATGATTTCACAAACATTAATCACCATATAATTAATGTTTCGTACCGGTTGAGTGTTAATCAACCTAATTACACGATCTAACAATTAAATACGAACACATGTAAGCTGTTGTTAACGATGATGAAATGATGAAAAATCTATGGATGTTTTTTGTAATTTGAGGTGATCTAGGGGATACGTCATTAAAAAAAGGTTTATGCAGAAACCAGGTTTTAGTGACAAGATCAGTAGGTAACACATAAGTAAAACCACCAGCACTCAGTTTTTAGGACTTTCGGAACCAATTTCAGATTATCGGGATGCCCGCAATTCTCCGTGTTGGGCTTAAGGGTGCAAACAGTACATTTTTTGGTGTTTCATTTACTGTCCTACTTTTTTCTCTTTTATACAGTTGGTTTTAAAGTAAATATTATCATATATTTTGATTTATCCCTTACCTCAATTGTTTACTTATTTATCCGTTTATTTAAACACATAAACATTGGTACAAGTAGGCACCAAATATATATGTTCCACGTTTCGTCGATCGATTTGTGTGAGGGTTGCAATAATGTCAAGGAGCCCAAACCGAAGCAGGTGGTTTTCTTAGAGGATCATCCCCCAAGCATCTAATCTAGAGGTCTGATCCAAAAGGCGATGGAGCGAAGTAAGAAGATTCAGTCCCATGGTAGCCGGAGACCAACAACGGCTTCATACACCACTTATTACCTCAGGATCCTGGAGCCCATGTGCATCATTGGTTTGGAATCAAAGCTTTTCAATCCCCTAGGTGGATCTTCTATATCCACCAACCTGACTAAAGAGTCGGATATCCGCTTCTTATCCTCACAATTTCGTAAACAACATCCCTGCCTCGAGAGGAAGGTGAGTAGAACTTCCCTGGAATTGACTGTATATGCGTAACCATGTAAGAGCATTTCTAGAAAAAGAGTTAACTCTTCACACCCCCGAAATCACCAGGGACTTCATTCAAACCCACTTAGAAGTATGTATGAGTAACAAATAAAAATAAGATGAATTAGTGATAACAGTATGAAAATTAATTGAAAACGAATGAAGTATCAATGTGATATTAGAAGAACTAATATTGCATCCAAATTATTATAATTAGGTATTACTGTTGACTATCATATACAAGTCATAATCAGACTATTGTACTTAATCGACAGTCAAGTATATCATCTTACATGTTTTTTTTTCACATTTGACAAGCATTTACTAAATAATAAAGTTACATTTTATTCTGATGGTTGTTATAATATCGAAATTAAAAGTTAGAAACTTATATAAATAATCTGATTTCTAGAAAGCTAAAAAGTTTGAACCAGTTAACAATCACAAAAACCATATTATAACAAAATAAATCAAATTCTACACATACTCTTTGTCAACCTTTGTTTTATGTTTGAAAAACGTTAGATGATAAAAAGAGTTTAATAGGTAGACAAAACTATATAACGTGTATCTGAACTATATATGTTTGAGTAAGTTTCTATAAGGACTCAATAGCTTAAGGGATAAAACATTTAGCGTTTGATGCGGAAGGTACTGGGTTCGAGCTCCCGAGGAAGTATTAATCCTAATGGGTGTCAGATAGAACTGAAAAAGTGTTCTGCGTATGTCTGCAAACCACAATCTATCTTTTCTATAAAATATATGTATTTTGAATCTTAACATTCAAATAGAACAGTCAATCTTTTGAATATGATACATCATACATGAGTAATATACTTGAAAATGCACTTAAATACCAAACGTAAAAAGATCAATCACAGATAACATGAAAACCTCAATATCGTCATTTGATAAGTTCCGAATAGAGTTTCTTAGCTTTTATTAGTAATCAATATAATTAAATATATTTATAATTTACAAATAAATGTAGCTATTTTGTTTTACGTTAACAAAATCCGTACACGTAATGGGTCTTTGGTTGAGTGAAAATTGTGAAAAACCGTCAAAGAAGATAAATAATCTCAAAATATTTTGTTTATTCATATGATTATTAATTTCATGAAAAAGAAACAAGCAAAAGGTATCATTATATTAATTATCTAACGTAAATACACAGTATCTGCAATAAAAACATGAACCGAGGGTGACAAAAGCTATTTTAGAAACTTAATGTATCACTATTCCTCTCTTTTAATTACTTTCTATTTTTGTCAACATACTTTTCCGATCTTCATTTTAATTGTTTCAAAAAAATTTTATATGTTTTCAGATGTCACACTTATTAGCTGCAACATTATTTCACTTTCTATCGTCTTTTCCGTGGTCTGGAAGTTATACTAATGAAATCATGATTTAAGAGGTTTATGGTTGTCCGTAACTTGCGTATTCAGTATCTTAGTTCATGTATTTGTTGAAAAGACCTTGTGTATGATGTTTGTTAACGATATTTTAAATGAATTAGTAGGATTGATATATAATCTCAACAAAAAATAACAATCATTCGGAAACTAATGGTGACAATAATAATAATCGGAGGCAACATGAAAATCTGATAACAGAATAGAAATATTGGTGATAAATATGGTAGATAGTAGTTTTAGGGAAAATATAGGAATATACAGTTCAGTATTATTTAAAAGACAATAAATTTGAAACTACTATTAAAGTGAACCAGAAACAATGAGTTATTGAACTTAAAAAATGTGAGAGGGATAGCAGATGATGATAAAATGTATAGGATAGAAAGATGCAGACAACAATTGTCTCGGAATAGATATATATATATATATGTCTTGCTTCATAAAAATTTATCATTAGGACTAACGGTGTGAAATATCATTTAAATGGTAAATTTTACATGGTAATGACCAAAGCAATGTAGAATGTCAGAATGTAGTTAGGTTTACAAAAGAAGTTTGACACGTTCCTTTCAACACTATCATCCTATTCAATTAAATAACTTGACTCATATAACACTTACTTATCATTGAGTGTACACGACTTATATTTCAATTTCTTAGGTTATTAATGTACACAATTACCCTATAGTTAATCATTAAACACGGAAATTTCTATTTACTTACTAACCTCATTAGTAAAACATTGTAAGCAAATCATTACGTATGAAAGATTACATGTTTATTCTGAAACAATGATAATTTAAGACTTTTGTATGAATGTATGGCCTCTGTGGTAGATTTATTCATAAACAAATCCTTTTGTTAAAATATTTATTCCGTAATTTATTGGCATATAAGAACTTTCGTCTAAATTAGAGCGAATAGTTTCACAGTATTTGAGCGCCAAGTTGATGTAAGACATTAAATAGGAATAATATATTTGTGAAATCTCAGCGAATGAATTTGAAGTAAATCCAACGTTTTGCCTGTAAATCTGATCTAAGCTTTTCCAAGAAAAATATAATCAAACATCAAAATTATCGAATATAAATAGGTACATGGTCCTCCGGTATTAGTATGTAAGAGACTTGTGATGTGAAATGAAATGTGTTAAGATAACATATCTTGGACCAGATTGCCAGGTGAAACGTTGGATTTACTTCAAATTCATTCGCTGAGATTCTACAAATATATTATTCCTATGTAATTTATTTGGTTTAGATTTAAAATGAGTACAAGAAATGAAAAAATTTTGATTACATTTCAACTGAATCTGAGTGACTCAGTCATCTGAAAATAACTAGCTTAGGTGAAACATGTGAGGTAATGTACGAAAATTATTAGTGTTTGCACAGCTACAGATTACTGGAAACTCTTAAACCATAGGTGAGAAAAACTTTCAACTGATCTCTGGATCACAATGTTATGATGTGCAGAAAACTACAGTATCCACTAAATATCTCTGTATATAGTACTTTTTGCTTATTAATAAAAGAGAAGATGGTATTTCACACAGTTTAGAGTAAAAAACATTATTCGGTGTTTTCAAACAGGATATTTGATAATGAATATGATATATCTTAGTTAGGTTAAACAATATTTTAGATTAGACACTTCAGATTTAGCAGGCTGAGTCAGTAGGATCAAATATGTCGAAATAACCAATAAACATATTTCTCACCCAGATTTTTCGTTATAAGATAAAGTTGATCCAAATCAGAAGAACCTGGCCATAAAGGACAACCAAGTAACATTTCTGCAAAGACACATCCAATCGCCCATACATCGACCGGTGGTCCATATTGTGTATCTCCAACTAGTAATTCCGGAGATCGATACCAACGTGTTGCTACATAATCAGTGTATTCACCACCAGGACCTGCATTTTTAAAGAAAAGTTAGACGTTTTTATTTTAACGTAAAGTGTGAACTTATCCTTAAGATGTTTTATTAGTAAAGAATAAAATAAAATAGTTTGTATAGATCTTCCAAATGAATCGCTGATACGATGTTAAAGACTAAAGCCTAATAATTAGTCTGTCGTTTTTAGGCCTCGTAAACGAATTACAAAACTCCCTATTTTACAATAAGTTACTAATGAAATGAATTGTAATCACACTTGTTGTTGTTTTGAAATATATTTCATATAATCGTATCCTTTTAAAAGAAAAATTTATCCTCATTGAGGAAGGATTGTCTACTTACCAATTCTTTGTTTATTTGGTAACTTCAAGTTTATAGTTCTATTTATTATTAGTAGTTGTCAATTGGTTAAACTTTCTATCATATTTTGGAGGTTTAATTGTAGTCTACACAACTATACAATATGACTCACTTATAATAGTCAATAACCAATGATATTATTAGACTATTATTCAAATTTAGTACTCGTCAAACTTCAATTTTCTAACTGAAAGCTATTGATCCACTATCAAGTATCAACTTCAATGGGTCTCTACAGGAATGTAACTTCAGTTTTTTTGGCTGAAATCCAGAGTAAAAGATTTCTCTAGGTAGAGTGACAATAACTGGTTAGCTCGCTTTTTTTCATAACTTGTTGGTTGGCTTTCTATTTATAAGAAAAGAATTTTCATATAAATCCTCATAACATCTGTACCAACTTTACTATGTATGAAGATTTATCTAATATTAGATGCTTTGCAGATAACAAGTGAAAATTCCGAAATTTATAATGGGTGTTTTTGAGAATGAAAAACTATCTTACGTAATCAATATTATACAAAAAATATTTCATTACATAAATACCTCTTCTTTCTCATCAAGTTGATTAACTAATACTTCTAGGTTTCCTATGGTGGTCTAGCTTCAACTGACTAATCATCTCAACTAATAAAATTACTATAATATCCACAAAACCCCTTCTGATATTCATCAACATATGCCCACTAGTGACTGGCTCCAAGAGGTATTTCCTGGAGTTCTAGTGAGAAGCAGTGACCAGTGAAGTTCAACCGGATAGTAACTCACGGAAGACAATGGTGGATGTGTCGCTTAATTTCATGGATTGGTGAAAGCAAGACATAAACACCGTTGGATACCTTTTAAATGGTCTAAACGTTAAGCGCTCACGTACGAAGCTGAAGGTCCTAGGTTCGAATCCCCCTAGCGGGTTCGTCGATGTGCACTGCTGAGGAGTCTCATACTAGAACGAATTAGCCGTCCAGTGCTTTCAGGCTTTCCATGGTGGGCTGACTTTAATTGATTCATGAGCTTAACTATTAAATTTTTATATGAATTATGATCAAACATTAGATAGAAAGTATAAATAAATAGGTCGATAATGAGGGAATATTATATGATAACATGGTAACTTAGTACAAATAAAAGATTATATTTGAGTTATCCATCTTAAAAAATGATTTCATTTCCTCCATAAGGATAACAAATAGCTTTTTGATAAAAACAAAAGTGCATAGCACTATTATTTGATAAATTTCAAATGGCACAAAATAAAGGCCATATTGTAATCATGTTGTAGTAACATATGATAAAATGATCAACATTTGAACATTTACTTTCTATCTAAAGGACTTATTATTGAGATTCACTTTCAATATACACTTCAATTTCAATGTTATTATTTACAAACAGTATGATGGAATAAAAGAATGAAACATCTCTGAGTGTCGTTAGCATCAGCTACGAACTTTATTACTACTCCTTAAAGTAATCAACTGGATGCCATTACCTAAAATCTTCATAGAAATGTACATGATCAATAAATTTATTATTTCTTATTAAAATAAATATGATAACAACTGTATTTTACATGCGTTCAATAGATTTTGTCAGTCAGTTAAAGTTTCTGTTGATGTAGAGAATTAGCTACCATCTACTTTCTGTATATCAAAAATAAAATCTCCAAGAAGTTAAAAAAAGAAACCGCTTACAGAAGGTCTATATGATACAGTCCGATGGGACGTCTTTATATCTACGTCATCCTCAGTCATAAACGGAATGTATCTATATCTTTTGATATTTGAATTCAGTAATTTAAAAATCGATTTAACATTTTAATTAAAATACTAACTAAAAATGTATATTGCTTAGATTTGTCTCATGGAATACCTAAGTTGTTTATTAAAAAGATACACTGTACGGATATCTACTACAAAGGTAAACCAAGAGCAGAAATGATAAAGAGAAAGATTTATAACTAATTTTTTCCAATAACTTTCGGAACGTCATATTACTTTAAAGGGTTTTTATAAGTTATTCTATTAATTTGAAGCTCATTCCATCAGTCGTTCAATGAGAGTTTGGGAAAATGATCTTGCATAATTGTAGAAAGCTGATAATAAATAAATTTTAAATGAATCGCTCCTGTAACCTTTGTCACTAAAACAAACTAACGTAACCATATATCAAGTTAATCTATTATAATTTCCACTTAATTTTTTGAATTTCTTTTGTCAAGTTTTTTTTCAGTAATGAATAGTTACCAAGCGCCTGTAGAATGCTTGGTTAATTTTCTAAGTCATTTAACACATATGTTACCAAGTTTCATAAATATATGATCGATATTTCATGTATGTTTTATTTTTCGATCATATAACTTTGGTAATGAAGTAAACAAGAAGATATCTACCCTTTAATGTTATTTATTGTTTAGTTATATATTTAATTATCATTTCATAAACCAAGTCATTGTATCCAAAGAAAAGATAACTAGATAGATAGATAGATAGATAGATAAATGAAATGGAAACAAATTATCACTGACCCTATACAATTTAATTAAACTAATAACTCACTTAAAAATCTTGCAAATCCAAAATCGCATAATTTCACTTCATTAGCTTTATTAATTAAAATATTTTCAGGTTTAATATCTCTATGTATACACTAAAAATAGAAACAGAAAAAAACAAAAAAAACAAACACCACAGCAATAACAACCAAAATAGAGAAAAATTATTAAAAAGAGGTAAAATGAAAGTAGTTGATTATTGTTTTTTTGAAAAAAAACAAAAAAAGAAACAGAGTCAGTTCATGAGTCTATTTTTAGACTCATGAAAAAAGAAAAAATTTTTTTTCTTTTTAAGAAAATAATTTTTGTATTTTTCTAACTAATAAAATGTGTCAACCGGAAATTTATAACTATCTTATCAGTACTTTAATTGACACGTCCATAAAATAGGTCAAATAAATTAATAGTTTATATATTAAGAAATGTAGATTAATTTTAGATTAACTCAATGCGTTTTATTAGTAGTAGTATTAGTAGTATATGTAGTGGTACTTTTATTTATTGCGTTCAGAATAAACAAACTGTTATAGATGAAATCTATGAGTCACTATTTTTTAGATTAAATTAAAAAAAAAAGATTTTTGAGCTAATAATAATAAAAGCATTGTAGACTGGTATGTTTAAATTTCTTATGGAACTAGCATTTTTGTGAATTCATGAAGTTAATATTCTGTTTTAATTAGATGCTGATAATCTTTCTAGAACTGAATTGAAGGTTTCATATTTCAGCCATTAAGTGCATGGAAGATTACTTACGTACTTTAATTACTTACGCCTGTTACTTCCAATAGAGCATAGGCAGCCGATTAGCATTATCCAACCCACTCTGTCCTAAGCCTTTCTTTCTAGTTCTAACCAAATTTTGTTCATTCTTCTCATATCTGTCTCCATTTCTCAGTGTAATGTGTCTTTTTGTCTTCGTCTTCTCCTCTGGCCTTCAGGGCTTGTCTTGTGATGCAGTTAGGTGATTTCGTCAATGTGTGTCCTATCCACTTCCAGTGCTTCACTACACCATAATATTTAATAGCTAACTGGCTTACCTCAAACTGTAGTGTAAATCATCTTTTTAAATTATGTTATTACTTACAGGGAGACAGTAATCATTAAAACTATCTTTTTGCAAATAAGCTAGTAGTTAGTGTACCAGTACTCTACAGATAGTGAATAATTGAAGTAATACTAACATGCTTAATTACACATCACTTTAGCATTTTCGATTCTTATGACACTGGGAACATGTATTATGTCATATAATTTCTCTTTGATTGTTATTATTTTGTTCATTAGCTTTGAGAAGCTACTATATTGATGTTTAAAAGTCAGCACTCACATTTTCTCGAAAAATCCCACTATCATTAGACCTATGCTAACTCTCAGTAATTTTTTATCCTGAATAAGCATTTGACCGGAAATTTTCGAGATTTTTAACTTCTGAGTGAATTTCTTTAAGTAACTAAACAATTTTAAACATGTAAATCAAATTGATATTTCACTTAACTTTCATAATATTATGAAGTTGGAGCCAATCAGGTGGAAGCTTTGGACCTAGGTTTTGTACTAAGAGAGACTCATCAGTTAAACAGATCTTTAGCATGAAATGAAGTTGGGATGTTACATTCCTTAGTTTGAATATAAACTTTCCACCAAAGTTAGTTTCTCTAAAGAATTGAAAACAATATTAATCCAGGATTATTTGAAATACCTGATAATAGTGATCAAAGATAGGTAACATTTGACTTCGTCACTCTTAGATTATAAGACTGGACTAGTGAATCATAGAACTTCTTCGGTTGGTAAGTATTTTGTTTGTGTACTAATTAAATGATAGTCATAGATCGTTACATGTTTGAAACCAGAGATCAATTTCAACTGATGAGATGTTCTGTTATTACATTCCTTTCCCAGTGTTTCACATTAGATAGATCATAACCCTGTTAGTAGCTACTAAGTATCTTGTTTTATAATCTCCATTACGATAAATCAGTATAAACTAATATTAAAATTTCGTTACCTTGCTATACAATTACTTTAAACAGAAACCATCTATATAAATTAACTTACGTTTGATTGATGACAGAAATCTGTTGCAAGAAGAATTTGCCATGTAATCTTTCGAATTTTTCCTTTATCCAACCTGAATATTAAACAAAAATGGTGTTTTGAAGAAATAGCCATGTATTGTTTATCTGGTTAAACCCAGTTTTCATTACAAACGTTTTATATACTCAGAAACAATCCAAGTAGTTATGCGAGACCAGGACTCAAAGCCTATAGGTCCGATCTCAGACGAAGTGGCGGGTACGCAATCCTTTGAACGAAACATGTAGCTGGTCATAACTACCCTTTATTAGTTGTTTGATTTGAATTAGTCATTGATGTCATTTATCTTTAAATATAATCTTCACAAATAAGATTATTCTGATACTAATCATGATTCATAATTTACAATTCATCACCGCAATAGAAAAAAGAACTGATAGATATTAACTTCCTTACCACCTATGTTTTCATTGTTTTTAATGTGGACATATTTCTCTATAGTCTTAGTACATCAGCATTGTTTATCTGATTAATTATTGGTGTGATACATTTCAACGGATTTTAATTCATCTTATCTCTTTCCAAATAACTGAGTGTATAATAAAAAATCTTAAGTCCTCTTAAAACCGACCAATTTAATATAATTCATCATTTTCACTATTTCAACTAGAAGTTTTACTGGATGTATGCTAAACATTTGAGGCTTTTGTAAACCACTTAAGGAAACAGCTTGTTGAGTCTTATGGTTGAGATATTTACAATGATCAATCACTGATCAGTGTTTAGTATCAAGATCACAACCTGATGTTCATATACTTACCATCTATTGACTTTTCACATAATTAGTTACGTTTTTTTACCAACTGATTGCTCACAGGTAAATATTTAAAAATGCAACCTGAGCGAAAGTAAATTTACTTTCAATTAGCTTTTCTTTAAGTCTCTATCATAGACGGAAAAATCATTGGTGATTAAATAGTGAAGTAATTAATAAGTTATACAAATGTAGAATTATCTACAAAAATAATGGTTAATTAGAATATGACAGACAGATTTAGAGAACAAGAGTAATTGTAAAGTTCTGAGGTTCGACAAACAAAGTGAATCAAGTCACTTGATCAAACAGAATACCATGAAAAGAGTATAATGTTACAGCCGATTATTTGACTCCTATCGCTGATCATAATGAAGAGGATGGATGAAAGTTAGATCCTATTATCTTTACAAATAGTAATTTGGCTAATTTCATCTATACAACTGTGTCACATAAAAACAAAATATGAAATGTTGCTAGAAGATTATATTTCGTGCATTCATATGAACAGGCAAACTCAAGAAAGTGAATGGATGGGGCTTCAAGGTCGGTTTCACAAATTATTCTGTTGTTTAGTTTCTACGACGTTACACATGTAGCACAATAAATAGAAATATAGACATATTTTCAAGTGTATGCATATATACGTAAAATTTACACAGACGAAAGGTCATGACTAACAGTATGTATGAATACATGCAGTATAACCAATAAGATAACAATGATGCATTCATTAGTGATCTTGATATTCCTCATTGTACCAGATTACACAAGAGCCTATCTTCACCTGTTACGTCAGTTTGAGATATGATTGTAAAATCGACTAAGTGATTATTTTAATTATTAGAAGGGGTGTTGTGGAGATTTGGTATGTTTCATAGTTGAAAGCCGTCCAGTGTTTCCAGGTTTTCCTCGGTGGTCTAGCTTCAATTGACTCATACTTTCAACTATAAGTGATTATTATATCACAAGTATAAAAAAGGTTACGACAACATACGAGTGTGATAGAAAAACATATAAGCTGAGTTGATTTGTGTTCACATTTATGGGCACATTGTACATTAAAAACTATGTCTTGAAATAACAGGTATGTTAACCAGACTCAATACATTATATTAAATTTCTACACCAGTTTTGTTTCTACTATCGACTAGATATGTAAGTATGAAGTATACGTTACAAATTTATTACCCATAAAGTTTGTTTCTATTGTCTCGTCCTATGCAAATTTAATTCTTTTAGAAAACATGAATTTCGTGGAGCTTGCACATATGCTTTGCGGGAAAATGGTAATTAACTATAAAATTATCAGCTGCCAACTTCGAACATAAACGTTCAAGCACTAGTTTATTACTGAAGTTAAATTACTTCGCGAAATCCATATTTTTATATGTTTATCATGATAAATGATTTGTTGCTACGATGAGTTTTCAGTTCACTAAAGTAAACAATTTAAAATTAAATTAATTATGAAAATATCATCTACCGTAGATAAACCAGCTCATTCAAACTCCATAGGATTATCATTTATTTCAAGATTTCAAATAGATCCTTCTAATAAGTGCTAAATAGTATGAAACCGAGGTCTTGTTATTCTTTCGGACTACACTAATCACGTGATGTTAAAACATGGGTTGTCGAGTGAATTAGACTAATAGCAACAAATTAAGAACCAGATAAATGTGACACTTCTATTCAATGATTAATGTTATCCGAAGAATACTTCTAACATTAACACTGACTGGCTTTCTCAAGATAACTTTTTCGTTTCACTGTTTTTTTCATTTCCACTATTCTATGTACCAATAGTATCGTCGAATTTGTTTATGAAGACTTTTATGAATGTTTATTTATTAAAACTAATTAGGGCGTTCTTTTGAATATTTTCATTATGATCAATGGAAATTTAATCATGTGTACTTTATATTGGATTCTAGGCTTTTTTCCCCACCATTTTGTTATAATGATGTGGGATTAAATGTTCAATAACCACTTATTCCCCTTTTATTTTTTTGGTAAAGAAATCAGAAATGGTATGAATCAATCAATATTGACTAGGTTTCATTTGAATATAATAAAAGAAATTTATTGAATGTTATCTGACCTATGATTGAAAGAATTAGAGCAAATCTATGTAGAAAGAAAAAAGGCTTGTGTACTAGTTGAGTGAGAATACCTCCTAATTGTTCAACTATAATAGGTTCGATTATAAATTCATCACATGTTTGCAAACATTGTGAAAATAGTGTAAAAGTACAAGTACTTTTATTCTATTTGATTTATAGATCATTATACATGATAGATTCTCGTTCATTCTATTAATGGAGTCTTATTGATTCGAGTTTTGTAAATCTTTGTTAACTAACAGAATAGATATTAACGAACTTGTTTATTATATGTAGATAAAAACGTTTAATAATCAAATATTATGATCATGAAGATGATATGATCTGTTTTATCTGGGTTCGTCGTAATGAACGTTGGACTTAGAACAGATTAATCCACACTAATTTCATAGATATTATAGATAAATTCAACATGGTGAAAACCCAATGAGTTAAGCCGATAATATTAACAGAGATATTAAAAAACTCACGGGGAATATAATATAATCAATGAAACCATGGAATAAATAATATAGTATTAAGATTCATAATATGTAGAAAATGAAAAATGAAAAAAATCTATGATTTTCGTCATTTACGATCTCTAATCAATGATTATGTTTCTCAACTAGACTCACACGATAGAACATCTTTACTTCCTCAAATAATATTTATTACCAACCAGTGACTTCATGGACTGTTGCTGGTCATTTTCCAACCTACATTAATACTAACCACCATTGCATGTTTGGATAAGTGATCCATAATTTCATCAACTGGCTCTTTACTTGAAAATAATTTTGAATAGTTTCATTACTCAGAATGATAAAACAACTTAGCTATATATATATATATATATATATATATATATATATATATATATTACATTTGTGAATTTCACTTTCATACTTTGCAAATTAAAAAAGAAGAAGAAGGAGGGAACTCACTTTCTTGGTCTTTGTTCCATTTCATTTAACAAAGAATTATCAATAAACTGGAATACCAAATTTAATCGTTTTTTCTTTCGAAACACTTCAATCAGATTAACTAAATTCGGATGCTTTAAACGCTACACAAATTATTTGAAAATAAAGTGTAAATTTAACAGAAATTAATTACTATAAACATTTAATTCATTTTGCATTATTTGTATGAATCTTCGGAATGATGTTTAGGATCGCTATAGATCAATCTCTTATTAGCATATGTGCATCCTATGCGGATTGCCTCAATATTGCCTTAAATAACAAGCATTGTAAGCAAAGATGGATGGTGGCTAGTAATGGAATTCAGGGAGAGCGTTTCGCACTATTTGGGACTCGTCAGCTGGATATAACTGCGTCTCAGAGTTGATGTTCACTCTGGGACTCAAACCCAGTACTGTTCACTTCAAAAGCCATCACGTTATCCACTTGGCTACTGAGTCCAGATAACCACTAGCATATGCAATGAGGTGAATTTTTAATTCATTTTGTATTGTTTGTTTGAATCTTTCGACTGAGTCTCGGCGTGAACGTCAACTCTGAGACGAGTCTCAAATAGGTCGAAAAGTGCTCCGTGGATTTCACCGCTAGTCACCATCCATCTTTGTTTATAATGCCACAAAGATTGTTTAGATTACGACATTATCAGAAAACAATAAATAAAATATCTACTATAACCTTCATTAATTCTTCAAACTGACGAAAATTAGATCAAATATCACAAACTCAAATGAATTTTCAGGCATAAAACTTCGATAACTAATGGCAAATTTTAGTTCATTTACCGAAATACATGCACATATGTTTGAATCCTCTACCCTATAACTATGAAGTTTATGTCATAGGTGTTTCTACTTTAGATTTGGTTTAACAAAGTGATCCTTCATGTAAGCAGCAAACTTCACATACTTCTGATGTTGTCCAAAAAGACAATGAAAATTTCAAGACTGAACCTTCTAGCTCAGAGAACACAGTCATTTTTAAATCCTCGTCCTGGATTGGAAAATTTTCCATCTTCTCACATAGTCCAGTGCATAGTCTTTCTTCAAAATAACTGATTTCATTGCTATTCTTTACAGCTAATAAATTAGTATTCACCTTATTGAAATGCTTTGGTTAAAAAGATATTGTAAAGACTAATGTTTTGTAGTTTGAGATGGAAACAAGAGGTGCATCAACGGTAATTGCTGAAACGATAAGCTTTGAAAGTTTAGGAACGAAGATGATTTTAGGCATGCTTGTCATTTGCTGGAACATTGTTAATAAATAGAGGGTGGTCACAATTAGATGAAACTAACAATTTGCTCATATACGCCTAATGACCACAACATGCTGAGTGATATTTTCATTATAGACTATTGTAATTTATTTATTCACGGTTGCAAGTTGTGTCGTACAATTTCTAACTTTGTATTTTGACATCTTTGATTTTTTCAAAATCAACTACACGATTAGAAAGAGTTTATTAACGTTGAATACTCTGAGCACGTTAGTGGCGGTCTGAACTCAGTAGCTCCATGGACAACATGTTCAGCGTTTGGAGCAAATGTACTGAGGCTCCAATTTCACTCAGAATATAAATAATTGAGTACATGTACACCGATCTAGTGATCCCTAAATAAAAGCATATATGTGTGCATTATTTCATTGCTGCTCGCGCGCCAAATGTACGGAACTTTACAACTATGTTGAAATAAACTTCAGTAATGGGTATAGAAAACAAGTTAGATGAAATGTTACTATTCAAGCTAACAGTTATACATGGTCGTCAACTGCTCTACACGTTATCAAACTACATAAGACTATCTTTAATTATTTAAAGTGAATGTTTTTATTTCAACATGAACAACGAATATATTGATTTCGTGCTGGCTTTCCTCATGCTTACAGACACGTAAACTCAATCCATTGGATATTCATTATGTTTTTGGTACACTTACACTTACAAGTTTGTTCTGAATCCACTCGTAATTCAACAATCCATCATCGTTGAAGTGATTTCACAAACATTGACAATCTAAAATGTTCTCATAAAAAGGCACAGGACAATCAGTTCGTATTTTTTTTCGGCATTTTCGTTTAAGGTGAAGTTTTAGTTTCAAATAATTGACATAGTTTCCTATGCTAAATGGAGTAGTTAAATGAAACCTCAATAAAACGATATATAACTGATTGCATACTATTATTCTAAATATATCTTTAACTAACTCACTACTATGTTGTTTACAATAAACTTCACTAGATTTGATTTGAGTAAGTCTAACAGAAGTAATACTTCCCAGTTTTGAAAATGTGTCGTATATTCATTTTATAATTTCGACTAGAAGCTCAAGTTACGATGTTGAAACCAATTAAGTTCTGAAAAAAATATGCTTGAACCATTCTAAACAGAAAATGAGCTTATTATTTACGTATTGTTCATAACAAATCGCGATGACTATTTGATAAAAGAAGTTTATTACGTGAACCTATATGATTGAATAGATGTCTTGAATTAAGCTTTTGTATTACTTGAAACACATTATTAGAGTGATACATTTTCAATACTGAAGGGATAGATCTTCTTCATTGAATTCGAACTTATATTATCTATTGTCTGAATCAATGTTGTCACTAATGAGTTAAGTCACTTTTGGAAAATATTTAAATAATTTTCAATATCTAATATAGAAACTAACACAACTTACTTTAAGCATACGAATTTCTCTCATTGCAATTTTACGAATGACTGGATCTTCTTCAGATGCTGTGAACTGTTTAATTGCCACTAATTGTCCTGATTTAATATCACGACATTTAAATACTACACCATATGCTCCTTCACCTATCTTACATATTTTCTCGTATTTCTTAAATAATAAATCATCATGCTTTCTAAAAGGTAAGAAGAAACAGATATGAACAGCTGAACGTAATCAGGAAACGATAATAAAATAAAACGAATCAATTTATTGAATTACATTATTAAATAATAGTATTTTCATGGTTGAATTCATGAGTCAATTGAAGCTAGACCACCATGGAAAACCTGGAAGCACTGGATGGCCTTTTTGTCCTATTATGAGACTCGCGAACGAGTGCAAGACTGGTAGGTCCTGGGTCCGAATCTCGCGAGGTGGGATCGTTGGTGCTTACTGCTGAGAAGTTCCATAGTAGAACGAAATGGCCATCCAGTGTTGATATTTTTAACTAATGAGCTAGCCCACCATGGAAAACCTGCATACACTGAAAGGTTGTTTCATCCGATTGTGGGACTCCTCAGCAGTGCGCATTCACGATCCCGCATCGCAAGATTCGAATCCAGGACCTATCAGTCTCAGTATTCATGGTTTCAACTATATAAAATTACTAAAATCTCCACAAAACCCCCTTCTGATAATGATCTAGTATTTAGTTGACAATAAATTAATACGCTCCTATGACCTTAACGTATTTTATAAATTTTTTTATTCCTGCTCTGCTGATGTAACGTAATAAAAACATAGAGCTCATTTGATTGTGCCCAAAATGTGTGGTTTCCTATATTCTTACTTTGAACTACCGTAAATATTATTTACATATATATATATATTCTTGTTTGTTTTTTTTTTATTGTTTTTATCAATCTCGAGTTTAATTTCACATTTTCTTTTATTACTCACATGATTTATGAGTGTCAGTTCATTCATCTTGCCACGTACATAAAACTCTTTCCCTAAATCGATGTTTTGATTGTAAAAATATGAAGATAATGATAAAGTATCATAGATTTTGAATACGTTCTGAAATAATAAGTTTTTTTACTTTTAGTAATGTTATTGTCCATATTTAAATGATAAATAGGTAACAAACAATTCACTATCAGAATCAGATTAAATTGCATTTTAAAAGTTTAACATTAATGATCAGAAATTGTGGTTTATAGACGAAGATGATTTTTTCCGGGATTAAACACAAGTATGGCAAGCTAATTTGTAAAATTTTCAAACATTTTCTACCATATAAAGTAGTATGCAAAACATAAATCATTAATGAACAGTACTGTCAAAAGTCAAGTCAATGATGCATTAACTTATAATTATTACTATTATTAATGTTTAATGAGAGAGTATAATAAATCAATTTTCTAGGATGAATAAGAAGAATATATTGTTCATTCAAGTGTATACATCATTATTGAACCTTGGTAGTGTATCACTGTTTGAAATAAAGTTGTTTTGAGTGAGGATGAGAAATTACCTTGTTGTTCTAATCATGAAGATGAAACTAGTCATTGAATCCAAAGATTACTGGTAGAAAGGTGGACACCCTAACTATTCAGTAACCGTTTCAATTGGTTGTGATGTCAACGAATATAACGCAGTGAAGTAATATATTTTAAAAATATGATTATTCAAACATTAAACTGATGATGAACTTAGACGAATAGGTTTTTTACTCCGCCTGTAGCTCCTCTGGGGGTTACTGCCGGTCCCAAGCCCGGGTAAAGGAGGAAGGTTGGGCATGGAGTTAGCGACCCCATCCCGTAGAAAATCAACTCGCTAACCAGAAAAAATCATTCAAACCATTCAAACTCTGCCCTGGGAGTAGAAGGAATAATTATGACGTTTCATGATGAAAGCCGAGTTCCTTCGGAAGTCATGAGGCCGATGCACCTTCTTACAACCAGAGCGACAATTTTTATAGGTACATAGAATGTCCGAACAATGTGGGAGACCGGAAGAGTCTTCCAAATTGCTGCAGAAATTGCTGTAAATTTTGAGAAAACACTTATGAATTGCATAATGTGCCAGGAAAATGACTAATTTCGGGCAAATTAAACAGAAACCATAACTAAAATCTCCCAATTCATAATCATACTTGAGACATAAAATGCTCATAAAAAGTAATTGTAACACGTGAAATGTGTTATAAAGAACTTAAACTAACAAATCTGTTAAATAAGTTATAAACTGTTCGTGGTGCTGCGTGTTATGAGCTGAATAGTTTGATTGTATACTCTTCAAGTAGTCTGAGTAATATGTATATATATATAGCTATATATTCACTTACTTCTGTTGTACGTGTTTATTAATTGCAATAGGTTGAACAGTGATTAATTTTAATCCATCTCCAGAGTTATCTAATTTCTTTTCTCCATTCTGTACAAAATGTTCACAGTTATCAGTATTTGTGTGAGATTCTGTTTCTATAAAATGAATAAACAAATCAGTAATTATATATGAGTTCGATAGTTTCCAGATAATTAATTCATTTAAAAATAATTTTTTATAACAGAACTGATATCAATTAGAGAACTATTGAAAACTATCAAATCATGAATTATCCAAGAGGGGTTTTGTGGAGATTTTTAGTGATTTTACAGTTGAAATCATGAATCAATTGAAGCTAGACCACCATGGAAAACCTGTAAGCACCGGACGGCCGTTTCTTCTTATTGTGGGACTGCTCAGCAGTGCGCATCCACGATCCCACCTCATGAGATTCAAATCCAGGACCTATCAGTCTCGTGCACGAGTGCTTAACCTCTAGAACCACAGACCCGGCATCCAGTGGTGCCAATGTCTAACTTTAACCAATCCATGAAATTGAGCGACGGTCCACTATTGTCTTCAGTGAGTTACTATCTCACAACAGACCCGGTTGAACTCCACTGGTCACTGCTTCTCACTAGAATTCCAGGAAATACCTTTTAAAGCCAGTCATTAGTTAGCATATGATCATTATCCGAAGGAGGTTTTGTGGACTCGAAGTGACCTTATTTCTGCGTTCCGTATGGTAAACAATTTTTTTATGTGATAATGTGTCTTGTTTCCCCCCCCCTCAAGGACTAATCTTCCCTGGGAGCTTTAAGAAGGATCAGAACTGCGTTTAAATAAACTCATATACTGAATTGATGATTTTTATTTGTTCAATACTTTTCAATAATGTACAGTTATAATTCCAAATAGGATTTAACCTTAAAAAGTTTGAATTTCAAGGATAAATAAAACGGGGAGTGACATATTGTTTATGATATGCCACAATTATCATATAAATCAATTGGATTATATATAAATAAAAAATAAATTTCGATAGTTGAAATCATGAGTCAATTGAAGCTAGGCTACCATGGAAAACCTGGAAGCACTGGAAAGCCATTTCTTTTTATTGTGTGACTCCTCAGCAGTGTACATCCATGATCTCACCTCGTGAGACTCGAACCCATGATGTATCAGTTTTCCATGGTGATCTAGATCCAATTGACTCAACTATTGAAATTACTATAATATCCACAAAAACTCCTTCTGATATTAAATAAATAAATATTGAATTACCATCAGAAACAGTTGTAATAGTTTTTGTATCATCTTCTTGCATGTTATACAATATAACAATTTCTATTATCTTATAGACTACATATATTAATATGATTATTGAACATTGAAGTTTTCTTCTTGTTTAAATTGTTATTTAAAATTTGTATATAGAATTTGAAATGAATATTCTTCATTGAAATATATGAATCTTTATATAATATAGATGAAGATCTTTAAAATGTTAGTAATGATTATGATTAAAGGAAGAATTGGGGAAAAAAATAGATTTAAAATATAAATCCTTTTGTTTAAATGGTATTGTTAAATTGTTCCAATTAATAAAGATTATTTTTAGAAAAATAAAATAAAAATGAACTTTAACAGTTTTTATGACTTGAATGTATCTATCCCTCTATCTATCTATCCCTATGTATATATATGTATACCACTGTATTGTTCAATAATAAATTATGAAATGTTAAAGAAACTGATTGTGAATAGAAACTAAACATTAATAATTATAAAGACTATAGGTAGATATATATATATATACATCACTCTTTGTTCAATATGTAAATCTCTTCCATTTCACTTATACAACAGTATACTTTTCTTCATTTTTATGTTATTTGATTGTAGAACAAAAAAGAAAGAAAAAAAGAAAAAAAAAGAGAAGGGATGGGCGGTTGAATAAAATCATTGTAAACTATAATGCTATTAATTTCTAACCTAAAATTAATGACCAATAATATTTTGATTAGAATGGAATGAGAGACAGGTTGTCATGACCACGTAATTATTGAGTTTACTCTATTGAAAAAGGAATCTATGCATCCTTACACAGATTACTAGACTACTCATAAATACACAATATATAGCATATCTCTTATAAGATGTAAGTAACGGGATAGAAGAATTTAAAAAGTGAGAGGATTAAGTTAGACAGATGTTCTTTAACATAATTTATAGATTTCGATCAAAACTAACCAGTCTGATTTAATGCATACCATAATAGTTTAGAACCTTGAGATAGTACAATATACATTTAAAATTTACGTGTTATTTAGAAGCATTGTAAACAGGATTTCAGAAAATTTGTAGTTAACGTTAAAAGCAAAGAAAGTTATCCTTGTGCCAATTTTTCCCTAGCCATATCAGGGAGGAACATCCTTTATAATAGATTAAATAAGAGTGAAATATCACAGATGTTCAGCTAACAGTTAAGTTAGTAAAGAGTTCTCATTCTACTTACATCTCAATTTAGGTTTTCATTATACCATGAAGTCACAAGAAAAATTAAAATAATTATATTATAAGGAAAATTTTAAATGTTCTCACTAGTAAATCGTGAAAAAATATATTGTAGTGAACGAGAACACAAGCGGGAACAACTGAATGTACTTGAACACAAAATTACAGAACATCTTGGTAAAATATGAGAACCATACAGTAAATACTTAGTTTGCAAAATGTTAATCAATTGTTTCACATTTGACCGTTCCTTTTGCAAATGTCAGTCAATCGTCTGAGACTTCACTGTTCCTTCATTTCCACAGAAATCGTTCACTGTTTTCGTTCTCTTTTCTTATATCTTCTTAGCCTTCTGCTGCTAGGTATTTCGATTTCGATTGATGATACATACCTCTTATATCTATTGATATCAGTAGCAAACGCCATAATATCTCCAAAGTTTTAAGAAGTGATCTAATATTGGGATTTTTACTGAAAAATCCTCCACCTTGTGAAATTAAGCTGAAGATTTCTTATTTAGATATTTCCAGTTCCAGGTTAATGATTAGTTGACGATGTATGTAAAATCTGGCACGAAAAGTCGCACATGTTAGAGATGTTCAAAGCCAGTAATAATGTGTTAACTTGAAGACATATGATAAATATGTAAAAGTACCTCTAAAAACTCATCTTAACTCCATAGCACTAACTGAAATGTCAGATTTATATTGGCAAATGATAACACAAATATAACTCAGCAAATCTGACTCCGTAGTTGGATGAGAATCCAGAAGAATGTTGTTTCAACGCGTACAATTGAGATTTACCTTCAATTGAATGAAAGCGCTTGATAAAAACTATTATTCCCTATAACGAAATGAAAGATTTATTATCAGTCAGTTGCTTAGGTGATAAAAATTCAACTTAATAATCTAGTAGTCATCGTTTCGAAATAACATCACCAAGAAAATTTAAATTCACGCTACAAGTTATAATACCCTAAACGGTTTTATTGATATCACTGGGAATATGATTATTGGTGGAAGGACTGCATAATTATAAACTAGAAGCCGGATATAAAGTACATGAAACTGAATGATTAGTAAACACGTTTATCCCAAAACACGAATTGAGCGAACTAACCGTCCAACCGAAGTCCTCCTGGCATATATATATATTTATATAATTGTATAAAACCCGTAATGACTTGACATGAATTATTGATCAATATGATGATGATGAAATGACTGGAGATTGTTTTCATTGTAAATTGATATCAATAAAAAATCTATCATAAAATCATACTATATTTCACATTTTGCGGAAAACGGAATATTCTTTTCATTGTATGCCTATAAACTCATCATGTTTTCTTTCTATGTTGGCTTTGTATTGCAGTAGGTCATTCTAGTTTTTTTCATGTAAGATTTATTAAATTTATTTTCTAATTGGTTAGTTTTCTTTGTGCAACTAAAAACTTGATTAGAAAATACACATTTTCATTTGTTTTCGATAAACTTACTATTGTTTGTTCATTTGGTGTTGTTTACTTGTATTTTGTCCATCCAGCTGAGGAGTCCTAAATAGGACGAAACACGCGTTCTGGATTCCACTGCTAGCCACTATCCATTATTGCTTACTATTGTTTGTCTTATTTTTTAAGCGAAGAGAGTTTATTAAAAAGTTACAATATCATTTATGCTTAATTATTTGGATACCTTATTATGAATTATTTTATTTGTTAATGTAATATTTCATTGATAATATTGCTGACTGAGGCACTGTAGAATGCAGTTTTGAATCTTTAAGAAAAACTTTTCCTACGTATTGTTAATTGCCTAAATACCTAGGTTCATGACTGATTAATGTAAATATTCCTCTTAGGTACTTGTGTCAATTAAGTGTTTAAATCAATTACTCGTAATTCCCTGAAACTTTGGTTTGGGTGTTGGGTGGCTGGAAGTAGTTGGTAAGGTACTGTAGAACTAGGTCTCATATGAAATGGCACTCATCAATATGCTTTATCTTCAGTTTTAATTGATAATCGTTTTGCGATTCAAAACTTTATCATTCATCTTCGCACCTTAAAATTCTGCTACTGATCTATTCGTGAATCTAAAGACCTCCTACAAAATCGAGGTATCTAAAACTAATTGACCAATGTCATGTTTGACTTAGGTTATGGAACTAAGAAACTCAGGTTCAAATGTCATAAGAGGTATCATTTACTCCAGGGTTTCCTTTTGACAACGTCCAAACGACGTACAAGCCATGTTAAGTCACTGAAACTAATGGCTACGCTGAAACTTGATAGAAAGCGTTTCATTACCACTATGGACTAGACAAGTGTGATAATGGACACTACTCAGTAAATAATTAACGTAAGTTCCAGTCACTACTTTTTAAGATCAACCGAAAATTAGAAATTTCGGCAGTATGTGATGGGTTGTTTCAATTGATAGTCATCAGAAATAGTTTTCACTTATCAGATAATTATTAATTGCATCTTACATACTTTTGTGCTGATTTCCACAGATATCTGCTGCATAATTGATTATTATATTCAACTTTCAGCTAACGAGATATAATGATAATAACGTCGTTAAAAGTTCATAATTGACGTAGAATGTCAAACCACTCACTCCTTAAGCTCATTCAGCTGTTTACAAATATTTTGTTTTAGAAAAACAAACAGCTATCAAGTCTCAAACTAATCAAAGTCATTCTAACAAATTTTTAAATAGAATTATGCCTTATTCATCCACCATTATTACCACCAATCCTTTGATGAACAATTACTTAGACATCACATAAATAATAATGCCGTATTACTCTTTTTTTGTATACATTAGATATCGAAGAAACTCCAAAAGCCAATTTTTACATCAGATAAGACACTGATGTTGTCGTTTTGCCATTTTTTTCCATACAAAACAAATTCATCACTATGGTTTCACAGTGTAAATAAAATATCTGATAACATAAATACTTCTTTATCACACTAACTGAAGAGATTAAAAACAATCCTTATTGAGACAGGAAATCCACAAAACCAAGTAAAAAAATGATAATCACGACAGTTGTTAAGTAAAGATATTTCTCAAGTTGTCATTACTCTGATAATAATGGTAATGATAACAATATGCATTGTTGCATACTGTTCCTCTGAAAATGCATCAAATGTTCTAGCACCTGTAAGTGTATCGTATTCCACAAGTGAGATTATAGGAACTCTAAATGTTTAACCATACTTATTACTGAATTCACCAAGTAAAACCACCTACCTGTAGTTACTTTACATTAACACCATCCCTAGCAACCTAAACTAGTTTGAATAATATCTAAGATAAACAGCATATCACTGAGTCACATGACACATGCATTATGGTAGACCTGATTGACATATTTTAGAAATTGTTGTTTTGCTGTTCCATGTTCTCTGTTTCTATTTTTACTTTCTCTTATTATAGATGATTACAATTAATTCATTATGACACAGAAAATAACCTTAAATACACCGTTCATAAATCAACAAGATGTCCACTTAAGAAGTAGAAATTCTCGGCCGATGCATTGCAATGTTGTAATACATGTCATAAATGTACTACCTAAACAATTTTTAAACTAGTAAATTTAAAACAATCTTATATCACAGGTTTGTTCTCTACAATGCTACTATTTATATCAAGCTGATCATGACTGTGAACTGGCGTGAATTCCGTTATTATTATTATTTTCATATAAATATATATACATATAATTGACAATAAGTCTAACTACTTTTATATATACAGTTCCCTTTTTTCAATTTGAAGAGAACAAGAACAAAGATTACTTTCACTTTAATTGTAAATCAGAAAACATAAGTAAGTTTTATGAAAAACCCAAATAAATCATATTTTAAGAAAAGATGGATAGTGGCTAGCAGTGGAATCCAGGACGCGCGTTTCGTCTTATTTGGGACTTTTCAACTGGATGTACCTGCATCTCAGAGTCAATGTTCACTCTGGGACTCAAACCCAGATAGAAAGAAACGCATGTTCTGGGTTCCACCGCTAACCACCGTCCATCTTTGCTTATACTACTTGTTATGTAAGGCAATATCAAGACAATCCTCACAGGATGCACATATGCTAATAAGAGACTGATCAATTGCAGTCTTGGACATCAATATGAAGATTCAAACAAATAATATCAAGTGAATTTAAATCATATTCTGTTAAGCATGGAAACTGTACTCAAATTTAAATTGCCAGTTGAAATATAAATATTTCCTACGTTTCACCTGACAAATTAATCCCAGTTTACTAAAAGAAATATTCGAAAATCGAGCATTATCAAAAAATATAATAATAAAATCACACTGAAAACTTGTATAGTCATGTTCTTTTTATTAACATTATGGTTAT